TACTGTTAAATCTATTAGTCATTAGATATTATCTAGATTAGTGTTACATAGTATCATTAATACTACTACGACATAAGTATCACATATATACTAGTATTACTTATTATTATTAACATTGTTACACATCATATATCACATGTACTAGTAATACAGATTATCATTAACACTGTTACACATTATTACCATTAACATTGTTGTTACCTATTATATATTATTGTTACTATTGATACACATTACTATTAATATTATCTTTTTTAATTGTTAATCATTATTTTTCATCTGAACTAGTATGACATAATACTATTAATACTGTTATAGATTAGATATCACTTGTACTACTGATACATATTATTATTAATATTATTACAGATTATTATTATTAATATTGTTATCTATTAATAATAATAGATAACACACGTACTAGTGATACATATGTATTAGTGTTAGAAAGTGTTGTTAACTCTGTTATTCAGTACAAAACACACGTACTAATGCTATAAAATACCACACACGTACTAATACTAACATTAATACATCTATTTTTGCGGATTATATTGACACAATATCAGATTTGAAATATGAATTTTCAGTTAAAGCGAATTTATAAAGAAAATCGGATTCTACAAATCCGAATTTCGATAAAATCGGATTTCACAAATCCGAATTTTGTAATACAACCAGATTCCACAAATCTGATTTTAGGGAAAAATCGGATTTCCAAAATCTGATGTAAAGGAAATCCGGAATTCTGAAATCCGATTTTTTATTTAGGTCGGATTTAAATCGAAAAACGAATTTATAAGTCGGATTCCCAAATTCGGATTTTTAATATCCGAGTTACGTTAAAAGTCGGATTCCCAAACTCCAATTTTATTTTATTATGTGGGATTTTGAAAATCTAAATTTTTTTCTTCCATCACCGGGTTCCTCATGTTCCTTGTATTGGTAAAAGCATTGCAAGAATTATAAATTTGAGATATCAGTATCAGTTTTACTTTTAAAACCCAGTCTATTTTTTTTAGAAAAAAATTCTGTTTAATATCGGATTTAGCAAATCTGAACTTAGTCAAAACTAAACTAATTATTGTGTTTTATATTTATATGGATGAAAAAATGTTTTGTTTATTATTGTGACATATTTTGACTGGTTTGAAAATTAGTTTATCCCTTATTTATATTAAAAAAAAAATCTTGGTGGAAGTACGGATTTTCAAAATCCGACCTTTTTTTTTAAAAAAAAAATTGAAGGGCGGGAAAATCTAAAAATTTAATTGAAAATTTGAAAATATGAAAAAAAGTGAACAGTAAAATCGGATCTTGAAAATCCGAACTTGGTCAAAATTTTATTTTTGGAAAAAAAAACTTAATTTTTTTCTGGATATTATTTTTTTATTAACGAAGATCGGATTTTAAAAATCTGATTTTCTTTTAATCTTGATTAAGTTAATTAATTTTTGTTATTAATATAAAGTCGGATTTGTGAAATCCGATTTTAAGGCAAGGTCGGATTTTGATAATCCGATCTCGGTATTTTTCTCTTTTTCAAAATTCGACCTATATTTCTCTCTACTCCTTTTTTGAACCATTTTTTAACTCAAAAACTCTGCTAAAAACCGCAACTACTTCAAATTTTGCCCTAAAAAAGCTCACTAGTTTTTCCAGACTGATGGCCTTCCTGCCTAATCATGCTCATCAGATATTTCATTTTCATGCAAGTTCGAAATGCCCATTTCCATAAATCTCATACATGCAGTATTTTAATGTTGGTAAATGAATCAATGAGAAAATAATTTGATAATTGAGAATGCCGCAGAAAATCCATGCCAAATATGACCATAATATGAACAAAACTTCAAGTCGAACACATGTTGCAACCCAGAGTACTTCCGCAGAAGACTGCAAAGGCATACTCCTCATTGGCATGCTAATAAAATCTCAAAAATAGTCAAAACCTGCTCACTCCAGTGACATATTTGATATAAACATAACCACCACAAAGACAAGCTCATATATAGATAGACTACTGAAAAGCAACAAAGTAAATTGAAACTCAACAGAAGCATTAATAATCTCAAGTTTCCCAGCTGCTAAAAATGGGCTGAGGGATCAGAATCGCATTATCAGTTGCATTTCAATTCAAGAATGAAAAACAGTATCTGGTGACAGATTGAACTTAAAATTCCACAAAGCATCCACACATTGAAGGTTTTCGTATAGCAATTTATATAGTCTCACGAGCAATCAACAGACCAATATTCAAATGACCAATACGAGCAATCAAAGGTACTGTTGTTTTCCCTAAAGGAAGAACAGAGATAAGACCTGTTGCCTCAACTATAGCAAGGAACTCGGGCGATTTACATAGTCTTATGAGCAATCAAAGCTGCTCTTTCTCTTATCTGGATGAGAACTTGTTGACGGGGCATAGGCACAAGGGTAAAAGAGAGTCCTTTAAACACAAAGTGATATTGATTGGTGTATCCATCGTGATGGACACGCCTGTCGTATAGCCAGGGTCTCCCAAGGCTAATATCGGAAGAGCTCATTTCCTGAACGTAACAGGTGACTTCATCGCTGTGGTGGCCGATTGAGAATGTGACTTTGACTTCGGAATCCACAATGGTGCGTTGATGATTAATCCATCGAATTGTACGTTGCACAGGAAGTGGAGTGGTAGACAATCCCAATCTAGAAACCAAAGATGCACTGATGAGGTTATTACTAGAACCACAATCGATGATAAGCAAGGCGGGCATGTTTTGGACCAGACAATTGGAATAGAAATGATTGTTGCGTTGATCCGCAAACAAATCTTCTTCTTTTTCTTCTGGTTGCTGTTGATCTGCTTTAACAACAACAACATTAGTAGTAGTGATCATCTGCTGTTGTTGTTGTTGTTGTTGTTGGGCCGCTATTTCCCTTGTCTTAAATATCTGACACAACACATAATCATCGAGATGATGGATGTGGTATTCGTGCATAGCCCACAACCCTGGAACAAGTGGTTGTCCATCATGTTCTCCAATAATTGATGTGAAGCTGAAACGCCTCTTGTAACCAATCACGCTATCCACCACGGCGGTGGCCGGTTCTTCTTCGGCCTCCCAACTTCCAAATCCTGCCACCACCCTCCGGCTGTTGCTGCTTAAGAGTTTGGTGAAGGCATAAACAACTTTAACCTCCAGGTTTTCTCCGGTAATGTAGGGGTGCGCTACTAGTTGTGTTTGCCACGGAAGCTGCTGGTTGTTGTCATCGGCGGGGCCGAACAAGGCCGCCGCGTTGATGCCGCCGCCGTAATTACCATACATGTCCAATTCGATCACCAGTTTGGATTCCAACTCCTTCAGCGGCACTCCCAATATCTTGTTCCGCAGATAATACCCTGCCAATATCTCCCCACTTGGTTTGAATAGGAACTTCTCCCTCACAGGTTGTGCTACTTCCATCCTTTTCAATGTTTTCATCATCATTACAATTCAACACCAAATTTTTGGTCCTCCCTGAATAAATTCTCCCCTGCTGCGCCGGAATTCTCCCCCCAAAATAATAGAAGCAGCGCGCGCCCCCTTTTATAGTTTCGGAAAAAACAGCAAATCTCGAAAGCCTCTACAAAGAATTAAGGCATGGGCTTCTTCTTCTTTGTATTAATGGGAGCTTTCTTCCTTGTAAATTTTTGATAAAAATTCATTTAATTCCAGCCCATCAGCATCAAGTCTTCTCTCGGCCTAATTCCCAAACAAGAGTCCAAAATTGCATGTTTGACCTCCCAGTCTTCAAGCCTTTCGACTTATTCCTCTTTAGTTTCTTTCATCTTCAATCAAGCTCCTTTGAGTTGCTTTTATCTTGGTTTTAGCTCAAAACTCCAACAATTCTTTATTTGAGTACGATTCCTACAATTACAAAAAAACTTACGTAAATAACACATTTGTACTCGTTATATATTAACAAAATCTCGCATAAAGAGATATTAAAAATAGATAAATTCTATGCTCATCAATGTACCTTATTGGTGGTGAACCACAAGAGCTCGACAACGGCGACAAGGCAACAAATGGTACCAAAGTAGGAGTTGTTGAACAACATCCAGATATCAACAAAAATTTAATAAAACAATCAAAAGATAAGGATATGAAGAATCAGTAGAATCGAAGCACAAAATCACGTAAGGACATACTCCCTTCGGTCCTTAAGTAGAATATAATGAATTAAACTTGTTATTTTCTACACAAGAAAAAATAAATAATTAGAAAATACATTAAAAAAAATGTGTTCAGACTTATTTGTACAATAAAGTCTAAAATACATTTGCAATAAAGAGATCAAATTCTTTAAGAATGAAGAATATGAATTCAAGCTGGTTGAGTACCTTGTGCATAATGCAAGCAGGCTCAGTACCTTGTGCATAATGGAAAAGCATTAAGGAGATTTTGCATTGGTGAATTTATGCCGCCAAGTTTAGATTGCACTAGATTACCATCCTTCAACACTGCATGCTCAAAACACTGCCAAATTGTATTAAATTAACATGTTATATTATATATAAATGACAAAAACACTATAAAAGTCAATAAAACGTCAATTATATGATTGTAAATTGCATTTCTCAATTTTTTCTTTCATTTAAACGAGTATAAGCATACCGAATGTGTTAAAAGAAGATATATTCCATCGGTTCTTATTATAAAACATTTTAACTTTTTTCTTAAGTATCATTTATCGTATTCTTCTAATTGAAAATAAAACATTAAAAATATATTTTCACATTTATTGTGTTCTGTTACTTCTTATAATGTATATTTTATGTTACATTTTCAATAAGAAAAACACAATAACTGAAACTGTAGACTTCAATTTTGTGGAAAAGTAATTTTGTCTAAATGAAATCTAGGAGAGGTCAAAATATCTTATAATAAGGAATTTAGTTTTTTTTTTTAAAAAAAAACAACAAATTTCTTTTAAAAAACTTTTTTTTGGTTAACTACAACAATTCAATCGACCCCCAAAACCCGAGAAAACCTTTAATGCTAAGCTGTGGTAGGAATATCCAGAATCCGATAACCAGAACCCACCCGTAAAAAATAATATGGAGCAATGAACACCCACCCGCTTAAGAAAACAAATTCCCGCCATCTCAAAACACAGAGACAGCAGATTCCCTCTCAAATAATTTGTTTTAATTTTTCTTTTTTCATTATTCATCTGCAGAAATCAGGGAATCAATTTTCTTTTTGTTCCGTCTCCGGTGGTCGTCGTCGGGAAAACCAAAGATGCCGCCGTTGCAGAGGGAGGAGGGCGGCCCAGCATCAGTGCTGAACTGGAGACATCATGCCCTAATTCAAGCACTCCTATCTCGGGGCCCAATCAAAGATAATCAATTCCATTCCTTCTTTTACCAGCTCACCGGCAAAACTCCAGGTCTTCCCCTTTCCAATTTTTCCATTCCGACCTTCTCTCTGCCTCTGGGTAGATTTCCCCCCTTTTAGCTCTCTTTTATTTTATTTTTGAATATTTTTCCCTCTTAATTTCCGCGTGATACATTGTTGAAAAGATTTGTGCTTTTTTTCGTTTAGAAAAGCTCTATATTCGGTTCATTTAGCCCTCTTTTGCGTTTTTGTTAGTCTTTCTGAAATATCAAAAGGTTATCTTAAGGTGCTTCTTTGCCATGAAGTTCTGTTCTGGTTTTATTTAATTCCTCTTTCAAAATTTGTTTGGACTTGAGAGATTTCTCCATGAATTTGGATATTGGCAACTTATTAACCCTTTTATTTGCTGTTCCGTGATGAAAGAATGAATGTGATGCGAGTTACAGGAGTTATAAGTTGGTCATTTTAATTATTTTGCGGCCCCTTAGCAGCTAAGAATGTTAATTAGAGTAGCTGTGTAGTGACAGCCTGAAGAATCAATAATATAACTGCATTGTTACAATGTGATTTTACAGATCATAGGTCGTTTAATGATTACCTGTTGGACATAAATAAGCAGCTAGCTTATGTCCAACTTGACTTGAGGAAATGCCTTAATCAATACGATGGGAAGGCTTATTATGGCGTGGCAAACAATTTTGCGGACGATCAGTCCAAGCTTGGAACTAAGTACACCGTTCCTCAAATTGCTTTATACAAGGGAATTGTAAGTTTTGTTCTCAGTTTTCAAATCTCCTGTAATTGTTGATTCAGTTGTTGGTTTTGCTTTCCTTATGCTCTTTTTTGTAGTTGAAAGTGTGAAGTTACAAAGAAATGTGGAAATAATATTTATGTTTGAATCAAGTCAGTGCATTGTTGAAGAGAACAATAAGTATTGTGTTCGCAGAACAATAATTCAATTAGCTGAGTAATTGAAGCCTTGTTGAAACCTTTGCTTTGGTTATTTGCTTTTACAATGTGCAAAAGTTCTAGCCTTTACTGGGGTTATTCTACCTTATGAAAACTGTTTTACTTAGATTTTAATAACGGGCAAAAAGGACTTGCCTTTATTGATTTCTACCGTATAAACACTGTCTTAATTGATAATTTTAATGTGGCCAATTATGAGCATTTGCCATGCTACCTGTTTGATTATATTCGCGCCCTTTTGGCTTTTTAAAATCTTTCTCTCCCTAATGGGTCCCTCCAAATGTCAGATTGAAGCTATTGTTCAAGACTCAAGTGGTGAGGGTAGCATTTCCAATACTGAGGCACTTAACGTACAGTTGGAGAACCAGGTTTGATATGATCTGAAATTTCAGATAGTTTCTGTACTTGTGTCGTGTTTTGTTTCTTTTGCAAATGTAGACCTTGCTCTGCCGAATTAACGCGTTGGAACTTTCCCCTTCATTTCTGTGGCTACAACTTTAATGAGAAAACATTCTTTTGATTCTCTAAGAATGTTTCTACAAGTTTTCATTTCCCTTTATACAGTGATTTCTTATGCTGATTGCCAAGTTGAAAGGTGATGATGCATTTCTTTGATAGCACATGTCGGACAACTACTGGTCTTCATAGAACTCTTTGTTTGGTTTAAAAAATATAAAGATTTTAAGTTTAAAGAATTATGAACAGTAAATTGAGGCTTCTATTCTGATTAAGTTAACTTAAACAATTATGAACAGTAAATTGAGGCTTCTATTCTGATTAAGTACTCCATTTTGTTTGAACTAAAGAACTATTATACCATCGATTTCACAGTACGATATGAGATAATAAGTTTGCATACGTTGGCATTTTGCATGATGAAAATGTCACCCTCTTTTCTTATACAGTCAAACTTTGCCGAGGATACGGTCTTCTTCTTTAATTTACGCATAAAGCAGGTTTTGTTTGATGTCCATGCTTTATATTTTATACACACCCTGTAGATGATTATAAATTTTTATACATTAAATTTTCTAGGTTTCAACTGGAATGGGCTCGCAGTCGCAGATGCAGTCACCGGGTAATTTAACTCAAGTCCCTACTGCACTGAAGAACTTCACCATGTCTCAAAAAGATAAAACTATTGAAGAGTTGATTCGTGACCAATGGCTTTGTGCAATATCTAACGGACAAAGGATTGGTCTCGGTGTGAGATCCTTTCTTGATTTACGGTGCTGGTTCCACAGTAATGAAGTTCCTACATGTGAAGTCTGCAATGAGGCTGCAATAAAGGTATGGAGTTTTATATCCTTCTACCTGTTAGATTGCTCAAACTTGTGATTGCTGCATTTGCTCCTTCAATGGAGCTTTTTTCTTATCCTTTATTGAAAATTCTTCTATTTACAATGCTACTGAAATGCTGAAATATCTAAGAAGCCTCCAGTATTCGATTCTTAATCAAGCATTGGAATCAATGTGAACTGCATCTCAATATTCCTAAGTTTTTGGAATCATTTGCAAGTCATTAGGTGCAGTGATATTTCACTGTACCTGTTTTACCTAATGCATTAACAGTGGTTTCTTAAAGCCTTCTCTTTTTGCTGAATGAATAATATATCTGGTCTTTTGCTTTGATGTGAAGGGAAGTAAGTGGTTCTTACTTCCTCGATTTTCTGATGACTTGTTTCTCTATCATTATCCTTGTACGTTGAGAACTTGATAATCTAGAGGTTTGGTCCTTGTTTTGGGCAGGTGGAGCTTTGCCAGAATGAAGGTTGTGAGGTTCGAATGCATCCAAGCTGCGTGAAAAAAAAATTCTCGCAAACTAGGGTATCATCACCACCTCTTCTCCATGATTCTATTGTGTCTTTAGTTTGACTGAATGGTAAACTTAATGGTATATAGCTTGAATAAATGGTCATCTATGTTTCAGGCCAAAAAAGTTTGTCCACGTTGTGGCGTCCAGTGGCATGTAGCAGCTGTGAAAAGAGAACACCTAGAAGAAGAAGACAACAATGAAGATGACGCCCCTGAGAACTCGTCCCCACCTGTTGATCCATCTTCAAGAAAGAGATCACGGGTTTCCCAACAACATCAGCAGAATACTCAAGAGTCAAAGCCCATTTCTTCCGCAAGTTCTAATCCTGTTGCCAACACACGGAGATCAACGAGAAGTTCTGCAAGGCAACATGCTGCTTAGCCTATGTACGTCTGTTTGCTTTGGTGCTTACTTGCTCAGAGCCAGTACTCATCTTTTGATTGTACATAGTATTAGTGTATTTTGTCGGTATTATCATTATGAACATGATATCTTCAATCATGTCTAGTTTTTGAGTTCCGGTGTGGATGTTATTCATCTTTTCAGACTGTTATTAGAGATAGTTTCTTTTGATGAGGCCTCGTGGCAAATTGCAGTTATTGAATCTTCCTATCAGATCAAACTAATGTGTTGGAGCAGTTTAAAAAAGTGTCGCCGTGTCTATTAAGAACTTAGTTGACGCAAAAGTTGATGTTTCGATTCTAAATGAGATAACATAGGTCACATTTGGAGTACGTGTGGTAATGATCCATGTAACAAGTTAGCTGCTGTAGTTATCTTGTGAATACATTACAGACTGAGTTAAGTCTATGTAGCCTGCACTATGTTACGTGATTGCCACAGTTTTGAATGGATCAAAAACTGAATAGTCTATCTGTTAATTGAAAAAAGTATGCTAGTATATTATTCCAGTGCAGACTGCACTGTAGAATGTAGAAACAAAAGTGGAACTGAAATTTTGGTGGAATATGGTCAAAGATTTGGGGAGAGGCAAGCATTGATTGATTGATAAAAAGAAAAAAAAAAAAAAAAGAAATGCAAAAGAAATGATAAGCCTAGTAGCCTGTTGGATTGACATGTGTGCCAAACAAGCATCTTGTGTTACCAGAAAAGGCAAGAAAAGGGAAAAAGCAGTAGATATTTGCCTTTCCCTTTATATCTCCTCATTGATCCCCCACTGTCACCAATGTCAGGTCTTTATCTTCAATTTTATACTACAATTTTCTCTCCACAGATTCAACTCCTGCTCAATCATCATCATCATTATCATGCATCAATAATGAGTCACGCCCCCCCGAAAAGAATCCCCATGTTGACAGGTGGTTCTGATCAGATATTTGCAGTTTTCTTGAAGAAATGAAACAGAGTACAAAGTATCTCTCTTTCTTCTTCCTTTGTTTAATTTATAAAATGCATTTTATACATGATGATGATGATGACTTTGCATCACAGAAAGCCAGAAAAGCTTCTTCTGGGTTCTTTGGGACATTGATCTTAAATAAATAAATAAATGAATGATGTGCACATCACCATTTTTACTACTACTTCTGCTGCTCTACAAGTTAATGTAAAGCTATGTTTTAGCTGGCAGAGAGGGCCAGGGGATGGAGAGGGTACGTGGACCAATGAGGAGGGGGCTTGTGGCTCATTTGAAACTGAGGGAGGGAATAATGATTCCATGATGATGATGATGATGATATGATTAATGATGATGCACATTTGCAGACTGGCAATTGGCAAAAGAAAAAGACCCAAGTAAGATGTGTGGGGTGGTGAGGATGGCGGCTCTAAGTGGCGCTTCCTCCTTCAACTGCGGTGCCGCCGCTGTTGAATCAAAGTCAACCTACCTCCCCAAATAAATATCACAAACACACACACACACACACTATACACAGATTTGGGCTTTGGTCAATCAACAATCTGGAGGATGATCCTCATCACATGATTATCATTGACAAAAAGTTGAAGTGAAGAAAATGAGCTAATTACCGATGTCAATCTTTGATTTGAAATGAAGAGATTATTATTATTATTATTATTATTATTATTATTATTATTACATTATTACAACAATGTAAATGACGAATTTTAGAAAGCTTTGAAATGTGATGAAATCGAATCAAAAAGACGCGTGGCACATCCGTGTGAAGATGCAATAATTTTTAACCAACGATTTGACCTCTTAAAGAAACAAACATGTAAATGAGATGCGTACGTATATGAGTATTCTGATGATTTTTTTATTTTATTTTTTATTTTTATATTTAAAAAAACTATTGAAAGTGTGTAAGTGTATGAAATATTTGGCGAAGAAAAATCATGAATAAAAGTCAAATGCGAGAATATGGAAGCAACATCATAGATCTCATTTGAATTGTGTATACTATATAGCCCGTCAGCGCATCACATTAACATGGGCAAACATCACACCTAGCTAGTCGATCTTCACTTTTTCTTTTTTTATATGCTTTTAATGTCTTAACAAAATATAAGAATCGTATTTGTTGGAAATATTTTAATTACTAATCACACTAAAATTAATACTATCTAGTTTGATTCAATACTTCTTTCTCGAAATAAACATTTTTATTTTTATTATCCAATGCAAATGGAGGCGGGAGAGTCATAATTGACATTTCTTTCAATTTTGAGCTAATAATGTATTTGATTAAAATGACTCGTTTATAATTCTAGTGCTTCTTAATTTTGGTGAAATTGCCAAAAATCAATATATCAATGCATCTTGGGTTGTACTGACTCTTTGTATCGAAACACAGAAATAAGGTGTGTACATCTTGATCTCTAGACCCTAACCGAGTTAGAAATATATTGAGTATGTTGTTGCTGAAATAAGCATTTTTTAAAAAGTATTTATTTGCTGTGTACAAATAGAATATATATATATATAAGAATTACGAATAAAGAGGAGGAAAAAAAATAAAAAGAAGAGAAAAGAGTAGGATTATGGTTAGTTGGCTATAATTGATAAATAAGAGAATTGATGATGTCACCTATGACAAAATAATAATGAGATTGCGTTTTGGAGGGTAGTAGATATTTACATATCTTAATAAGATGGGCAAAAATTGGACATAACCTAAGAAATGCTCCAAAGGCCAAAACGTGGGGTATGAGAAGAATAAGGGTTGAAGTCGAAAGTCGAAACAACAAAAACACTGAAAAGTGAAAACAAAGCAAAGCAACGGAGGAATTATGGATTATAGCTAGGCTGCATGCATGGCTGTCACATTTCCAAAACCAAAGAGACAGAGAGAGTTGCCCATTCCCGATCCTTTCCAGCGCCTCTTGCAGTCTGCACAATATCTCTGTGGTTTCATTTGTAAGAATTTCCCAACCAATTGATGAGAGTTTGTGCCAACCTCAGTACCCTTTTCACCAAAATTAAGGTTTACAAGGATTTTTTTTTTTTTTTAAAGAAAAATACATCATACAGCATATCCTACATTGTGCATCGATCCTATCTTTTTACGCTACAAGATTAACAGATTTGGCCCAGAATTCATTAGATTTTTGCTATTTTCATTATAAAATAAATGTAATAAACCAACTTTCTTATCTTAAAACGATGGAGGAAGTATTAAAAATAGGAGGAAAGGACATGGTGGGTTGTGGAGGTCAGGAGGCAGGTTATGGCGGCAGGGGAATAAGCAACCCAAATATATATTGGACGGTTATGGTCGGTGGCGGAAATATAGAGAGCCCCGGCCGGCCCCTTGTTTTTCCAATTTCGGAAAGTCTTTCCAACGAAGATACTCCTAGGATTTCTCAATGATCCATCGGGCACAAACCTTAACGTCACAATCTAATTTACTCCCTTATTGTGTAGTGCTCAGAAAATTATGTGTTTCCGGATAACACCAGAATTACACAATTTTCATCTGCATGTTTCCTTTCCTTTTTCATGACAAGGTGTCTACTGTTGAAAATGATGATCACTTTTTTGGGTGAACTATAAACAAAAATTTTTAGGTTAGATTTAGAAATGTCCAAAACATATAAAGATTGCTCCAAAAAAAAATAAATAAATAAAAATTATCCTTACATATTTATTGTGTTTTAGACTTTTAGTACTAATTCTCTTATCAAGTTCCAAAGAAAGTCTACGGTGGGATCTTTTGATATCTAATACTACTAAGCAAATGGTAGTTGATTAAATTTTAATACCGCATTTTGTTTTTTTTTTTAAAAAAAGTAAAATGTGATTATGTGAAATATCTAAGAGATAGAAGAAAGTCACATGGTTTCGAAACTGAAGTCTTGGTTTTTCAAATGATAAATTCCAGCTGTAATGAATGCGATTATTCTTGAATTGATTCAAAGGCCGAAGGTCGTAAGAATAAATTTGGCCAACTGTTTTATAACACGTAGCTACGAAGCATATGGTGTTTTTGTCATATCGTATTTAGATTTGGAATTAAAATTACTTGGACGACCCACCTGCTGCTGCCTACTTATTTAGAACGACCGATTTTGTTCGTGAGCTTCTGGAACAAATGTCGTTTCACAGTATGTGTGTTATATGCAACAGAATTTCACATTAATGACAGGCCACAGAAAGATGCATGAATCCGAATAGATTGCTTAAAGTGCTAATATGACTTTCAAGGATATTTAATACTACCTCAACATTCACATTGAATTTTCAAATTTGTACTAAAAATAATATAAAACTCAAAATTCAATGTGGACTATTTCTTTGAGACGGAAGAGAGTACATTAATATCCTTAGACACGACTAGATGAAACGCCTATGAACTGTGTCTGTTTAGTCATGACTTAGACACGACTTAAGTACGAGAGTTTGTCTAAATATTTTGGCACAAATACATTAATCACAAATTTACCATGGCCAAATAAATGCTACAACAAATCTGTGGTTAATTTGTTTTTCTCTACCAATAATTTATCCACAAATTATAGACATGAGAGGAAAAAAATTTGCATGAAGAAACATAAAATTACGCAATTTTGAAAAAGTAATAGTAATTTAACAAAATGTAAAATTGAAATAAAAGATGTGCTTGTAGACATGATTCCTTGTGTTATTCTTCTTCTCCTTTTTTTCTTTCTTTAATTTCTTAAAAAAAAGAAAAATCATTTAGAGTTAATTGTATGTAAAAATAAAAATTCACTCCCCCAATCTCTTTGACCCCTAAAATGTTTATTTTGTGTTAACTTAGAACTATTTTTGGGATAACAAGTAGAAGTATTTTCGAAAATGAGATTGAAAGACACGGGTAAGGTCGTCTTTTCCTTATATATATATATATATATATATATATATATATATATAACGTCGTATAGCGCCACTTAAATTTTAATCCTTTCTAAGAAACGTCGAAAATGGACATAAAAATGGAGAAATATACATATTAACCCCCCTCCCCTTTTTACTATTGGATGTAGGTCTCTTATCATTATCACCGTAGACCAATTTCTTAAATGTGTAAAATTTTGATACAACGGGCAATTCATAAATCGCTGAGTATTGGTGAGGAGAAATGATGGTAACCTCTCAAATTACTCCAAACATATATATAGAGAAGAGATTCACAAGTCAAAGTAGAAAACCAAATTGGCAGCCAAAAGCCTCCTAATCAATGCCATTTCTTTACAAATTTCTCCCCCTCCATTTTGCCTGTTTGACATCTGTCCCAACCTCCAACAAATTCAATTCCTCCCCCACATCCAAAATTTTAAATAATAATAAAATAATATATACTACATGTATATATACATGCTTGCTTATATATATATATAGGCATTACCTCATCAAAAACTTCACGAGTATTTCTTGCTGTACGGAAACTCGTTACATTCTTCCAATAACAACAATAATATCTCTCTCTAGCGCTCTGTTTATATAAATTGAAAACCACCATGCAAGAAGAAGAAGTTCTCTGTGTATCCAAGTACAAGTACTACTACTACTCCTGCTCCTCCTCCCCGAGCATGATGATGATGATGATGATGTTGTTGATGGTGGTGGTGGTCGGGTGGTTGATGCTCCGGCAATGGTGGTGGAGCTGGCGGCGGCTCCGACTGCCCCCGGGGTCAATGGGATGGCCTTACATCGGAGAGACTCTCAAGCTCTACACTCAGAATCCCAACTCCTTCTTCTCCACCCGCCAGAAACGGTATTTATCATGTAGCTAGTATTGTGTGTGTCTGCTGCATTTTGTGCATGCGTAATTTACACATTTTCTATGGATTTAACTAGTTTCAGTTTTGCTTCTCTCTTTTTTTTTGTAGTCGTCTTCAAAAGAATTTTTTTTTTTTTATAAAAAAGAATTATTTTTGTGTGTGTGTGTATGTGTGTGTGTGTTGTTTGTGGGGGTTAAAAAGAAAAATCTCCAAATGGCTACCTAATTATTTCCATGGTACTTACTAGCTAGCTAGTACCTTTTGGCTACCAAAAACTTTAACTTATTTATCTATTTTTGACAATTTGTACACTCATTTATTTTAAACAGCTGATTTTTTTTTAATTTTTTTTTTTGGGTCATTCAACTAACAATTTGGAGATGTTAAATCATACTATCACATAACTTTTCAGACTTTAAAATACTCTGAAAATCCAAACCAGATCTGATTGTTGATATATATATGTATGTATGTATTATGTGTGTGTAGATGTCATAGAATCAAAAAGTGATGAGGCGATTACTTGTAATTGGTTTTCAATGTCTAGTTTTATTATGACGAATAATATAACATGATGATATATATATATAGGATGACATGATATTTATGGAATTGTGGAAATTATAGTAAATATAATAATACTTCTTCCTGGGTGCACAGGTACGGGGAGGTGTTCAAGACGCACATCCTGGGGTGTCCATGCGTGATGATATCCAGCCCTGAAGCGGCCAGGATCGTGCTGGTGACCCAATCTCAGCTGTTCAAGCCCACCTACCCTCCCAGCAAGGAGAGGATCATTGGGCCGGAAGCCCTCTTCTTCCACGGCGGCGATTACCATTCCGTCCTCAAGAAGCTGGTCCGGGACTCTTTCCTGCCCGTTGCCCTCAAACCCTCCGTCCCCGCCCTGGAATCCATCGTTCTCTCCCTTCTTTCCCCCTGGGGCTCCTCTGACTCTGACTCCTCCGTCGTCATCAACGCGTTGCAAGAAATGAAGAAGGTTTAGTTTCTTCATTTCATTCCCTTTATTACCTACTTGTTTTTTTTTTTTTTTTTTGGGGGCCTTGATAAATATTAAAGTATAAATGTGACGTTTACGTTCGTAGTTTGCTTTTGAGGTGGCAATACACTCGGCGCTAGGAGGAGAAAAGGCGGCGGCGGAGATCCAAGGAATAAAACACTTGTATCACCAGCTGGAGAAAGGCTACAACTCCATGCCTTTGGATTTTCCCGGCACTGCCTTTCACACTGCCATGAAGGTGCACATATACTCAATCTATCCATTACTATTTATTTCACTTATTACTTACGTTAGCTTAATTACCTTCTTTCCTCATTTCATGATTGATTATTTAATATACAAGCTGAGAATTGGATACAAAATTAGTACCAAAAAAAAAACAAAAAAAAGTTCCTCCTGTTAATTTGTATGGTCATGAGTGTAATTAAACGTGTCAAATGTACGTCTCCGGTCCATGCATATATATATATGGTATGTATGTATATATATATGGACATGGAGTGTTGTGTGCTATGTGACACCTCAAACAACTTAGACTATTTGATGTCTTGAATACGTTACAACTGTTACGTGAATCATACATGTTATAATTACATTTATGTACAACAAAATATATTAATTAATTGTACATATTGTTACATGCAGGCAAGAAAGAAGTTAACGGAGACATTGAAAAGATTAATAAAGAAGAGAAGAGAAAGCATAAATGACAGTACCGATGAAGGCGGCGGAGGAGGAGGAGCATTGTTGGAAATGTTGCTGCAGAGAGGCAAAACTAATTACCAAAACAACAACAACAAGAAGAAGTACTACGAGCTGAGTGAAACCCAAATCGTGGATAACATAATAGGAGTCATATTTGCTGCTCACGACACCACTGCCAGTGTCCTCACTTGGGTCCTCAAGTACTTGCATGACCATCCTTCCATCCTTGGGGCTGTCTTGGTACAAAATCCATCATCATCATCATCATCATCATATATATATATATATATATATATGTTGTTGTATCGTTTTAGTTCAATACGTCTATTTTGTATGATGATTAATCTCTTCAGATTCGTATCCATCCGCCGGCTCTAAATTCATTTACTTTAATTGGTTCTTTGTAGAGAGAGCAAGAAGAAATACGGGAGTTAAGAATTGATGAAGGAAATCGAGGCCTGATGTGGGAAGACACAAAACGAATGCCCTTCACTACCAGGGTACGTACGTATTAATCATGAATTATATTTTCCTTTAATTGATTCCCATTTATTTAATTATATTCTCCCGTCCAAACGAAAAATAAATAAATTTATAACTGTTTTAGTTCTACGAAAAATAGATTTTTTTTCCTAAGACTGTGTTAATGATGAATATAAAAAAAAGATGGGGTGATATTTAATGCAGGTGATACAAGAAACATTGAGGAGTGCAAGCATCCTGTCGTTCACGTTCAGGGAAGCAGTGGAAGATGTGGAATTTCAAGGGTATGTCATCCCTAAAGGTTGGAAAGTGCTCCCTCTCTTCCGTAGCATCCATCACTCCCCCCAATTTTATCCGCAGCCTCACAAGTTTGATCCTTCCAGATTTGAGGTAATTCTTTTTCTTCTTCTTATTATTAAACATGTTCTAAATGTACGTACATTGGATATGTATTTTTTCATCAATAAAAAAAAAAAGAAGAAAAAAAATCAGTTAACATATTCCAGGTCACCATTAATTGGGTTGAATATTCTCCTCATCATGTGTCACTGTATTTGTACGTGAGTATTCACCTCGTAAATTACTAAAATTGTGTCTTGAAATATATAAACATAGGGTTGTGAATGCTCAGAATATCTTTTGAGAGTCAGTCTGTCATGATTTTACATTTTGTTTGCTTTCGTTATATAATGAATGCATCATTCCTTCCAACTAGCTACTACAGTACGTACCTTCTCTCTCTCTCACTATTTATATACTGGTGATCATTATTGATATATACGTGGAATTTTAATTTTATTTTTTTTTTGGGGGGGAGGGGAAAATAAAAACAAACAAAACTCGTGAGCTAGTTTTGTATGGTACGTAGTTGCCCAAATAATTTATAGCTCAAGGGGGAAGAAGGAAAAAAAAAAGAATTTTAATTTGTTCTTTCACAAAGATCATAACAAGAATCTTTGTGACGAAAACTTACACATAATGTATGATGTATTTATCCGTTGTTTGGGATTATATGGATTTTCACTGTTACATAGAAAATGAACCCAACAATCCATCAACACCATATGATCATTTGTGATCTTATCACCTCATAACTGAATATGTATCCCGTAGGTCTAACTAAAACATCATCCAATAAATCAGAATCTTAATTGTAATGTGCTGATCGAATAGAGTACATACTTAATTTTAATTGGCTTTTTTTTTTCTTTTTCTTTTTTCTATGAGGTTGATTATTAAAAATTTTGGTTACATAGTAATGAATATTATTGTAGATGTAAGGGTGATAAATTGTATAATAATGATGAAATTAAGAATAATCAACAAGCAAGTAAGTAATGTGGGATTGGATGGGATGATGGCAGGTACAACCAAAAGCAAACACATATATGCCATTTGGGAACGGAGTGCATTCGTGTCCAGGGAATGAGCTGGCTAAGCTGGAGATGCTTATCTTCCTTCATCACTTCACTACCAATTTCAGGTCCTTATTCAATTTCTTCCTTTCTTCTTCTTCTTCTCCCGCCTGCCTATTCAATCTCTCTATTTCATTATTCACTCTTTGCATTGCACGTGTTTTTTTTTGTAGACAGACAGATGAGTTTGTATATATGTAATAGGTGATGACATATAGGTTAGCGTAGGTTAGGCTGGACCTATGCAACCATATATATATATACTCGCATATGGGCTTCTTCTTGACCTTCCCCAACATTGGAAGTGGTCCTTAAAGTTCCCTTCCATATATCTCCTCTTCTTTTCCAATTTTTGGTCAATCAATTTTGATTCGTCGGCCAAAGTTTTGCCTACCTTAAGTACTAGTTTATTGCAATGATATCCTTTTATGATTCGTATAACATTATTATTACTAGCTAGTATTTGATTTCAGCTATATATAACGCGGCAATATATAGTGGTACTTTATGTTTAATAATTAGGACCATATGGTCGATTTATGTTTACTGTTTCACTAATTAATTAGGTTACTAAAAAACAAAGTCTTTGGCGAAAATAATGAATAGTAATAATAATAACAAAACGTAGAGTTGGATGCATGATGGATGTATATATATATATATATATATATATATATATATATATAGAAGAGAATTTTGTGATTCTCAATTCATCACAAAGTCAAAGTAGATTATAGGTAGAGAGTTTTTATCCAAGTCTACGTGGAATGCATGCATCAGACAGTGAATTTGTTGTGTCCACCTCTCCTCTTTTTGCATGCATGCATGCATTTGATTATGTGTTGAGATTTTTTTTTTCTTTAATAATTAACCAATCAATTTATGTTGAATATTTTTCAGATGGGAAGTGGTGGGAGGGGAAGAAGATGGGATACAATACGGTCCATTCCCGGTGCCTAAGGGGGGCTTCCCAATTAGCCTCACCCGAAGGTCGTCCAAGATGGAGTGAATATTATTTTGCTACTTAAATAGGAAAAGAAAGAAAGAAAAAAAAAATTAGAACGGTCGTGTGTCATCTGTAAATTAAAAAATCTAACTTTGTAAGTTTGTTTGAATATTGTATGCTGTTTAATCAATTAATTTGTGCAGAGAGCACACACAACAACAACCAAAAAAACTTCAACATCTAAAAATGTGGGCACCAAAGCGTGATTCCATTTTTTTCTTTTCTTCCAAAGAGATATGCGTAGGGCAAAAAAACTTTTCTTAAGTTCATAATGACGATGTGAGTGAGAAATCCATTAAAAAAGCCAAGAAGGGGGATTCCGGTGAATGGAACTAAAATGTGAAGTTATGCACAAAAGTATAAAGATAAAGGAAGAAATCCATTAAAAAAAAAAAAAAGAAATCCACTAAAATGTGAAGTTATCATTTATACTAACACACAAATATATATATATATATATATATATTGACGTTGAGAAAAAAAAAAGAGAGGATAAAATCAACAAAATGTGTGTGTGCGTGTGTATGTGACTGTGCGGAAGAAGGAAGTTATAGGATGCACGTGTTGTCTGTGGAACTGTGTGTTTTGAGGGGTGGTGCGTGTGTGTGTGGACAGCCACAAGAGATCACAGAATCTCATGGATGGATATGTGGAATGTGCCTCTGAGGCTGCCACGTTAACGCTTGCCTGCTCACAATTATTGACTCCACACTCCACAAATTTTTAATTACTCCCTTACTATGATGATGATGATGATGATCCAATTCACGAATCAGTAGACAACCAAAATCAATTGACCAATTTTATTTTTATTTTTAATTTTTTCTGCAGTCTTCTTCAGTTAAAAATAATGTCCCATCTGATGTAACTTTCTAATTTATTTCAGATTAACACAACAGTCTAAGCTAGAAGAAGACCAATAATTCTCAGATAGGACACAAGATTCTCTATGTCACTTTGTTGTCACACCTCATATTATATATACTTAAAGGTTTATATAAATTCACGTGTTGTTCTACTTCAAAACCAATTGATAATGATAAGAGTAACATAAAACAAGTGTTTTTTACTTATTTTCACGTTGAGAAGGGATTTTAACACACATTTCAATAATCTTGTCTGGATTTTATCCAATGAATGAGGTTTTGTTACACATTTCAATAAATTTTTTGTTACACTTCATGTTGCACCCCAAATACCACTGCACGGGGCGTAAGTTTAATTTCAATCACATTATGGAAAATTTGAATACAATGCTTCGGATTCCCAAATCAATCGAAATCAAATAAAACGTAACTCACCAAACTCTCCCCGGAAAAATTGATGATGAAGAAAAGCTTTTGTTTGTTCCAATTTTTCGTTTTATTTGTTCCAATTTTTGTTTGACAATTTCTTTTGTTTACTCTGGTATTTTGGGCCCCTCTATTTCCATGTTAGTTTATGGGCTTTTCAGTTGGACATCCTTTATTAGAGATGCGCATAAGTCTTGGCGAGGATTGAAGGAACCCAAGGACTTACTCTCCAATCCTTTATGCAAGATACCGCGGTACCCTGAATGATCTGCATGAAATCTTTCAAAAATAAGAATTCACCAAGGTGACAAATATTGTTTTCTCATAGAAACTAGAATGTGTCCCGTGCGTTGCACGGCAAATTCTAGATATTATTATGATAATCAAATTATAATAACATTAATCATCTTAAAAGGTTTCAAATGTAAATAATTAATATGTATTATTAAAGATTACTTTTTTTTTAAAAAAAAAAGTTCGTATAGATTCAAGTAAACACACAAGAATAGTGGTAGGTGATTTTTATATTAAAAGAAATGCTCACATATATATTGTATTAAAAGAAATAAAATAAAGATTAACGAACTACTGCATATTCATAAGTTCTAAAACACTTTTTTGGTATACAAAATATTACTGATGCGTTGCTAAATGTACTGAAATGAATCTCCTTAAATATTCATCCATAGTATATTTCTATTAATGTATTTAATAATAAAATGTAATCATGAAAAAACATATCAATAAGAAAAAAAAGGTAAAAATTAATAAAGAAAAAATTCCCATTTGTTCCATGAATAAATAAAAAAAAGGAGCAAAGATAGTCTTATTAAGCAAAACAAAAAAAAAAAAACACACAAAAAACAAAAAGCAAAAAAAAATTCTAACTTATATGATTTGCTTGGAAATAACTCAGTTGGGCTTAAAAGATCTATATAAGTAATATGTATATTTGATTGTATGAACGAGATATGTTTCCTTCCTTTGGAAAAACTGCGTAATCAAACTTGCTTTCATTTTTCCAAACTTCATCATCAAGTTGACACTGATCCAAAGCCTAAATTTTTTATTTTTTTTTTAGTTTTTAGAAAAATCCAGGGCAGTAGTTGGCGGGAGGATCCCGATTTTATTAATATAAAAAAAAATTACAAAAGGCAGTATTTTAGAGTTTAACAAATAACCGTCTTACAAAAGTTTTTTACAAAAACTCCATGACGGTCCTAATGTATTTAACAACTAAGAATCTATCTTACAAAAATTTCTATAATCCCATGACAGTTCTTCTTTTTTTAAAAAAAGAATAAGAAATTATTCTAAGAATAATGATAATTTGTCATATTTTTAAAGCTAACTAACAACATCTAACTTATTCTTCTTTTCAAGAAATTCCATCCTTTTTCTTTTTAAACTAATCGGGGCCAAAATTTATTTTTTCAATTGATTGAGAAGGTAACGGTATGAAATTAAAGTAATTATTTCATGTTAAAAATAATCAGTGTCACCACCTTGATGTTAGAAAGTTGTGATTTTTTTTATGTCCTCCTAAGAGTAAGAAAACCGAACAGCTAAGATAAAGAAAATAACGATTTCAATTTGTGATAAATTAAACGGTTAATTCACAAAAATTAAAAGGACAAAGATACTATCTTCATGAATCATGATGAGTTTGAATTAATTTCAAAAGACTGTTTTAGTCCTTTTGAATTTAAAAAGCGATTTAGTTCAATTATCGTATGTTTAGGTTGTCTAATAAATTAGAAGAGTTGAAATAACCTAAATAAAAATTCTTGAATAACAATTTGTGTGAATTAACCGTTTAATTTGTCACTCTTTAATATTCATCAGATTACAATTTTTTTGTGGTCTTTAATTTTTATTTTGTTTACATATTTAACTTTGTAGTCTTCATTTTACTTTAAAGTGACAAGATAATTTACGTATAAATTATATGTGATATTAACTTTGAAAAGAGTGGTATTTCTATACATCTATAAACATTTCCTAGACATAGTACATTTTAGAAAACTTTCCTTTCTGTGAGGTAAAACTATATATAAAGGAACTATTCCCAGAAGGACCGATTTACAATTACAAAATAATTTATAAATAGAGTTTGACATTTCTTTGGCCGCCGTAAGTGATGTTATATCGTTAGAATTGAGCAAACTGTCGGCATCTCATATCGGAGTCACCTTGTAACGTGTAAATTTATATTCTTTCCTTTAGGGTTGCCCTTCTTTTTTGCTGCTGCAGATGCTGAAATCATCGTATGACATAATGTCTTCAACCTTGGAAACAGCCGCCGGCTACAACAAAACTCCCGTCGCTACAATTGCTAACCAAATGAACGATTCATTCATATGATGTCTCATAGCGATTTTCATCAGCAACGGCTCCACGAGCAGAGCTGTCTCGATCGAGACACTGATTGGTAATCGATACATCCGGTGAAAACAACTTTGTTCTCAATCCGATGACTTTAATTTTCATCTCGGCGTCAATTAAGCAATGACCAACGCCAAACAATTTTCCAGCTTTCAAGTTCGATAGCCTTTATTCCTGGCCAATAAACAGAAACATAAATTTTTTGCAATCAAACGCTTTGATCTCTGGCGGCTAGATTTTTTCTTTTTTTAGGGGAGGGGGGGAGGGGGTAAATGGCGACTAGAATTTCAAGTTTGACAGAGTGAACATGGTGATGATGGTGGTACGCAGGAGATGATGGAGTTGGTAACGATAAAAAGTAAAATTGAACATATATTTTTTACTGATTAATGACCATCTAATGAGATAATGACATGTGCCACCGAAGTTATTGATGGCAGGAGATAATGGAGTTGATAATGATAAAAAGTAAAATTGAACATATATTTTTTTACTGATTAATGACAATCCAATGAGATAATGACATGTGCCACCGAAGCTATTGATGGCTTGAATGAGTGACACATGTCGATTATCTTTCTTTCCTTTAATATACTAGTGATGTCTGGTCGCGCAATGCGCGATCCTGGCCCAATATATCTGTAGATCTTAAAAATATTTGTATCTGGAAAAAAATATTTTGTATTTGCCCCGATATGTTTTAAAAATATTTAAAGAATTTAGAAATGTTTCATAAGTGTGATCATAGAAATGTTTGTATTTGGCATAAAAAGAAATTGTATTTGGCCCAGTACATTTTAGAAATGTTTGAAAATTTTAGAAATGTTTTATAAGTGTTACTTCTTAAATATAAATAAACTTGATCAAATATATGTCGTGAAGTAAATGTTAGACAAAATATAAAAACATCCTAATAAGTTTAAATATTAGTAAGATGATTTATTGATGTTCTCCATTGGTTATACCAAATCAATACTTAGTTTTGGAGATTTATAATAATTTTGTATTAAGCTTCCTCCAAAGGGTATACGCTTAATTGTTAGAACTATTTCTTCCAAAAGTTTATAGGTAGTAAAATATCAAAAATATGATTTTGAAACTGGTTAATTGTTGAAACTGGTTGATCACAAATATGAGAATGAAAATAATGTAAATTTGTATAGGTTTCAAGTTATAGCAAAAAAGAACTCACCCCACCATGGCAAATAATAATAAAAAAAAAATAGCCCATTAAAAATTGAGAAATTTATTTTTTTCTGTAGGTAAAAATAATGTATAAAAACACAAATAAACGTAGAAACATCATTCTATCCCTCTCCACCTCAAATTCATAAAAGGCTTCCCCATAAATTAGTTAGAAGAAGCGATCTGAACTATTTATATGATGAGTAACTTAAAAAAGTCTAGAAACCAAATCCAAAAAAGTATATTTTTAAAAGCCCAAAAAAAAAACGCGCTTCATTTGCAAATAAAATAAAATAATAATAATAATAATTGGTCAACTGGGAGTATGAAACAAAATCAAAAGTAATTAGACAAAGAAAAAACACACTTTATAACTGACCATATACGAAAAAAAAAAATCGAGACTTCATAATTAAAAAAAGAAAACCACTCTAATTGAATGAAATATAAAAAAAAAATTTTAAAAACCACTTTTGGAAATAAAAACCCAATTAATCAATTCAATCCAAAGAGAACTAAATTCATACAAAAGTTCTAGTCTAACTAACTATATAAGAAATCACATTATATTACCTGACAACGGCTACGGTAGCTATAACGGATGGACGCATAAAAATAATAGTAATAACACTATTCTTGAACGGGAAAAAAAAATAATAAAAGCCAAATAAATGATCTGTGGAAATAAAATCATTTAAATTTTAATACTTGTAATGGTACCACCACAACAGCCGAAGCAAGATCAATGAGAATTTTTTTTTCTTCGTGTTTATATAGAGAGGTAAAGAGAATATTTTTTGAAGTTGGAATTTTATCTGATTAGGATGTAGTTGATCATCACTAATGAAAAGATTGAACTTGCTAATAGGAAAGGAGTATTATTTCACCACATATTTTTTGTTAAAGATTGATGAGGAATTTGTTTTTTTTTTTATTGTGAAAAAGGGATTGATTATGGAGTCAATTGTCGTGGAGATGTGGATGAGAATTTGGGTTTTTTATGAACCCGTGGTTTTTTTTAATTATTTTTTTGTTTTGGCAAAAATAGGAGGTGGAGGTGGATTTAGACTGCATTTGCCTTTTAAGTCTAGAAACAGTGTAAATAAAAATTGATTTTAAAAATATGATGTGAAAATGCCACATGACAAATGATAGTGTTTTCTTTTAAGTGTGGTTTTTGTTTCTAATATAGTAAGAAGTGTGGTTTTTGTTTCTAATATAGTAAGATATAATAATAATTATTTAAACTAATAATTTATTAAATTATTAATTATTTAATAATTTTCTAAATTAATAAATTTTGGTGGTCCCAACACTATTTATAATTTATAAAATTTCTAGTGTAATTCTTTTCTAAATGCTTATGTTGCCAATAGGATAATGTTAATTTATAAAAGTTCTATTGTAATTCTTTTCCAAATGCTTACGTTGCCTATATGATAATGTTAACTATTTACATAACAGTTGTTTCAGTAGAAAATTTTTTTTTCAAAACTTAAATTCATAAAAAATTTCATAAGATTACCAATATTGCAAGACATCAAATGGATTGGTCATTATATTAATAAAAACAATATTTAGTGAAAGAGATAGATCATGAAAATTTCATAAAAGAATTTAAGACGAAAAAAGCTGGAAAAATAAACTTAATATAAACAATACTTTAAAAATGCTAAAAAGATAAACTTAACATAAATAAGTAATTCGGGAAAAAAAAATTTAACTCAACATGTTTTCAGCTTGCGAGTTTATAGTTGCCGGTCCAAGCACGAAAAAAAAGGGGAGGGTCAATTTTTTTTTTTTTAGTTTTTTTTTTTATTACCAAAAGGCCTGTATTCCCCAAAACCATTGAGCCCGTCCCTGGTGACCAACCATTTATTTTGTAACAACACTGCAATCCCCAATCCCTGGCGGCTTCATTAATTGTTACTTATGTTCTCTCCGAGTGTGTCCATCACATCCAAAAATTCGTGGAATGTTAATTTTGTGAGCTCTCTTAGGATCGCCCGATTCGCAAAATGAATGACGGCATTCGCTGGACCCCTAGTCGCATACGCAGCCAACCTAGGGTCAACAACCCTGACAGAAAGAACTCCTTTCACAGATATACAGATATATTGGGTACCACACGCTCTTTCAAACAATATTCATAAGCTATTTTGTATTGGGAGGGAAGCATCTAACTGATGAATTCCAGCCGTCAATGTCTTGAGGTACTTTCCAGACCGCTCAACGACATATGCTTTCATCTCCGGCACTAACTCGATGAAATTGACTTTCCTATTGCCAGGCGGCCGAATGCCTCCAACACCTATTCCTCCTCCATGCTCCTCCGTAAGCTTTTCTAGGACTGGTGATATTATGGATATTGCTTTGCCTGTAATTGCTTCTTTCACAACTTCTGATTCTCGTCCATTAAGCTGGTATAATTTTTCAACCTTTGAGGAAAGGGTATTAGCTCGCTTTTCTCTTTCCGCCTTGTAGATTTGTTCCAAATGTAAATTATCTCCTTTGCCTTTAAGCTGCTGAAGTTCATTAATGGCGTCCGCGATCTCTTCCACTCGCTGTAAGTTTCTTCCCGCATTATCTTTCCGAGAGCTCACTTTGTAAGGTGGTTCGTGCAAGATTAATCAAAGCCTCTTTTGGCTTCTCGACCGCGTAAGAGGCCAGTTTAGGATCGACAATCATCTCCATCGTCTATGGGAGGATATGGCGTATTGTCTTTAGTAACGGCCGTTTGGTGAGTAACGGACAACGACCCTTCTTCCAAAGAATAAATATAGGCTATTTCTTCTATGTTAGGAGTGAATTGATGAGTACCCCGGATGTCAATGTGTTCACATAATTCCCACACCGTTCAATAACATAAGCTTCTCCCTCCGGAGAAGCGGTTGTGGTGGACGGAGGAGGAGGAGGAGGAGCAGCGGTTGAAGGTTTGTTGGAGATGCCAGAGAGTATTGGTCGACCGGGAACCAGATCTCAGGGTATTACTGCAATGATGAACAAGTTTCTGATGGAATTGATAAGCTTTGCAGCTGGTCTCTAGCTGGTTTTTGATGAACCAGCTCTCTAGCTAAACCCTAGCTACTGCTAGTTTGCTGCCCCTTTTCCCAAGTCAATTAATCCACGCAATTCAATTTTAGAGCCCAAAAGTTTTATTTTTATTATGGCTCTTTTTATTGGGACATTTTGATGGGTAGTTCTCTCTACATTTGGGCTTATTTGCTTATGGGCTTTATCCTCCCGGCAAATAGAGTTTGCCGTCGTTGATTTCAATTTTCAATACGTAATTGTCCAGAGACTAGGGAGAAATGTTGACAATGTTCACACGTGTTTAGTGGTGGGAAAATCTTCTTATTGGCTATAACTATATTATCATTATTATATATACATATATTTGTGTGTGGACAAGGGAATGATGAAATAATATTCATGTGTTCAACATGAAAACTTCAATTCACCCCCAACGCAAACTTAAATCAATGGAATCAATCAACACAACACTTTTTGTGTGGTTCAAGTGGAGTCTCATATTGTTTGTCCTTCTTGTTTAGTTCCACTCTAGAAAGTCTATATAAATAATAAAATAATCAAAACAAAACAGAGTCTTCTTGATCAGTCCAGTTAAATATGGCTTATGCTGTAGTTCAGCACTTGGGCAGCGCATGCTTGTTTTCTGGTGGTTCCAGCCTTGCCGAGGGGAGGCTGAGAGTGAGGAGGGCTGCTGTTTCATGTGTTAAAACTGAGGAACAAAAGAAGGTCAAATTGGGTTCTTCTGATTTGGAGGTCACCAAGCTTGGAATTGGAGCTTGGTCTTGGGGTGACACCAGTTACTGGAACAACTTTGAATGGGATGGTATGTACTAATTTCCTTTGCTTTTTTTTTTCCTTCCTCTTTGGCATTTGGGCTGTCACCGTTATCTCTAATTCTGTGGTTAGACTTGAAAAAGATTTGATTTTTGCCATTTTTGCAAGCGGAGCAGATTTAGCGTATGCAACATTGAATTGGAAGATCCCTTGTCTCTTTTTTGTTCAGCATGCATGTGGGCTGTCTTTTTTCTCTAAGATTTATTATGTGGTGAATTGGAAGACTAAGAAGACATTTGCCATTAGCAAGGTGCAGGATAATAACACATAAATATGACATCTTGACAAGTTATGTATCTGCAATATGTACTCGTAGTTTTAAATTGCATCTTTTGGGATTATTAGAGACATCCAAATGCTTCTGAGTATGTTGTCCAATTCTACGGGTTTAAGACTCAATTAAGATTCTGAACTCGTAATCTTTGTTTAGCCCGAAGAAATGAATTAGTTACAGAGCTGGAAACCTTGTAATTTCTGCAAACAGCAATACAGTTCGTGGCCTAAAAAATCCTTCAATTGTATTACATTTGGTGCAATTTCTCTAAGATTTTGTTCCCCAAGTTCTAGCCATTCTAGATAAGCCTAGTGAGTGTAGTGTTCTTCAATTGAGATTCAATGGCATGGTTCTAATCAAACTCATGCCAGCCTGACCTTAGGCGGGAAGTATAATATGATAGTTGAATGAACACTCAATATTCTCCTCTTTGCACGCCATCTATTCCCTGTTCTTTATGCTGATTTTTGTATATTGGCCTTTCTCCTTTTCTGAATCTGAGGCAGATAGGAAGTTAAAGGCTGCTAAGGGAGCTTTTGATAAGAGCATTGATTGCGGTATTACATTCTTCGACACAGCTGAAGTTTATGGTTCAAGGGTAGGAATATGATCTAGTTTTTTATTACTGTCCCCAAATGAGCCATATTGGCACTAATCATCAGTACCTAAAATATATTATCTTTTGAATTGTAGGCCTCATTTGGTGCTATAAGTTCTGAGACGCTATTAGGAAGGTTACTACTTATAACTTGTTTTGTGCTTATTTGACCCTTAAGAGAAATAGATCTTTGACAGTCTTCTTTCATCTTCTTTTGGTGCTATTTCATAATTCCAACTAAGGTTTATCAAGGAAAGGAAACAAAAGAACCCAGACGTGGAAGTTGCAGTTGCTACCAAATTTGCTGCCTTACCATGGAGGCTTGGTCGGCAAAGTGTCCTTTCTGCTCTAAAGGATTCCCTCTCTCGTCTTGAATTGTCATCAGTTGAACTCTATCAGCTCCACTGGTGAGCTTCTTCTTGGCATCAAACATCTATGATTCCAAACCACTTTATAGAACTCTCTGGCAGAATGTGCCAACAAATTCTGGTTACAGGATGTACTTGTCTTGGTTTCTGTGCCTTTTTTTGTTGTCCTACTTACATTTGGATTCTGCACTGTGAATCGAGTAAATTTTGTGACTGAATGTCGCATTGCCTTTTAACTACTCGCATCACTAATACATAGAAACGTCATATCAAATTTTCAGGCCTGGCATATGGGGAAATGAAGGTTCACTTTGATAAAGCGCTTGTTTTGGTTGATTAGAAAACACATAGTTACCAAGGGTAGTCATTGGTCGAGTTCCAAAATGGGATTGGTATTGGTTTTGTTTACAAAAATCATTTTTCAGGATACATTGATGGTCTTGGAGATGCTGTGGAACAAGGCCTTGTGAAGGCAGTTGGAGTATCTAACTATAGTGGTACTTACACTAGTCATCTTTTTTCCCCTAATGTTCCAGTGGTCTCATTGTACCCTTTAAAACACTCTTGTAGTCTCCTTAGCTTGAATTCCAGAAACTTGGGTCTGATTTTGTTGTCATATGCTGCAAAAGTTTAAACTTGGTGACATGATTTTTGCTCCAGAGAAGCGACTTCGACAAGCATATGAGCAACTTAAAAAGAGAGGCATCCCCCTGGCATCGAACCAAGTTAATTACAGTCTCATTTATCGGGCTCCAGAGGAAAATGGCGTCAAGGCAGCCTGCGACGAACTTGGCATTACTCTGATTGCATACTCCCCTATTGCGCAAGGTGAATGGTACCTTTTTCATGTCCTGTTATCCATTTCAATATTTCAGAACATAATGCATTCAGTAGTCAACAAAACACATATATAGTGGGTATCGTAGCGATTGTAACCCTTGATTTTGGAACAGTAGACCGCTGCAATATTATAAGTTGAGAAACTAGATCTGGTAGGATCTGATGTAAGTGTAAAATCGTTGGCTACAACAAAATTTATATGTTTATTGCCATACATCTTTTGCTGCAAAGGCTTTGTAAACCAAAGCAAAACTTAGAACCATTTAGCCATTCACTCAGGAGAAAACATTTATTCGTATCTGAAATCTTTAATTATAATGTTGCTAACACATAATGCAGGTGTCCTAACGGGAAAGTATACTCCAGAAAATCCTCCAACTGGTCCTCGCGGAAGAATCTACACTCCTGAATTCTTAACCAAAGTAAGGCCATTTGTAGTTAGTTAAATATGGAATAACTAGATTGTTTGGGTGAACGACTCAAAAACGTGTGTGCATTGCTGCAGCTGCAACCCCTAATAAAAAGAATAAAGGAGATGGGGGAGAGTTACAGCAAAACCCCAACTCAGGTTCTTTCTTTTCTTCTCACCTATGTCACGATATATAAAGCTCATCATACTTGTTTTAGTAGCCCATTCAAATGAAGTTTAATTACATGCTCTGTTTTCCCGGTTTGGTTTGGTTGGTTGGTTGCACAGGTTGTGCTGAATTGGTTGATATGCCAAGACAATGTAGTTCCAATTCCAGGAGCCAAAAATGCAGAACAAGCGGAGGAATTTGGTGGTGCACTGGGTTGGAGTCTGACAAAAGAAGAAGCTGACGAGCTTCGGGCATTGGCATTAGAGATAAAACCTGTCATAGGTTTTCCGGTGGAGAAGTTATGAGTATGGTGATTAGATATAGAGCAAGACACCCTAGCTAGTTACATTCCCATAATCCATATATAGTACAGTTGGGAGGTGTAAGAGATTTTTATATAAAAGCAGTTTTAAGACTGTGAATCAAATGTAGTATGAAACGCATACTTGAAGGGGGAAAAAGGCATTCACAATCCTGTAAATATGTAAGCTTCGCATTTTAAGTCAGCAGAGAATAAATGTATAATTTTTTAAGACTGACATTGATGCAATCATATAATCCAGGAGTTGGGGTGGTCGCGCTCAATGGTCTTGAGGTACACTTGTTGGGGAGACATAGGTAAGAGAGTAAAAGAGAGGCACTTAAACACAAAGTGATATCGATTGGAGTAACCGTGTCGTGACGGACACGGCGATCAGGTTGCCAGGGTCGGCCGAGGAGGATATCGGACAATGTCATATCCTGCATAACGTAACAAGGGACTTGATCGGTGCAGTGGCCGATTGAGAATTGGAGATTGACTTGTCGATCCACGTAGATGCATTCATGGTTGATCCATTGAAACACAAAAGGGACAGGAAGTTGAGTGGTGGGCAATCCCAATGTAGATACCAAAGATGCAGTGATGGTGTTATAAGCAGAACCACTATCGATGACGAGCAGGGCGGACATGTGTTGGACAACACAATTGGCCAGTGGCCCTTGGATAGCCGACTGGCCGGTTCCGGACCGGTTACCTCTCCTTGGATAGCCGATTTCGGGCCGACTGGTCCTCCATGGGTAGCCGGTTGGCCAGAATTATTTTTAATTTTTTTTTTTCAATTTTTTGGTGTTATATTCATTTTATTTATTTATTTATTGTGTTATACTCATTTGTGTTATACTCATTTATTTTTTAATATTTATTATATTTTGTGTTATATTCATTTTTTTTGTTATACTCATTTATAGTAATTTTTCTTTTCCTTTAGAAGTTGAAGAAGAAGAGAGAAATGATTTCAAGAATGTATTTTATTACTCTTTGTAGTACTCATGGGCAAAAAAGTTCAAACAAACTGTAAATGAGTAATTTTTATATCTGTAAATAGCAATGCCCATAGTAAGGCACTACTATTCTAATTGTGGCTTTTCAAAAATAAAATAAATAAGATTTGATTTAAACATTTTTTTCCGGCAAAAAACAATGTGTAAATGGAATTAACAGTTACCAACCTTTTGGGACATAAAAGAAGTAAAAATATTTAGGGAATTGGCCTTTATTTTATTATTTTTTTTGGAACCCGAGAGTTGACCAAATAATGATATAATGTTGATGATTAGGACTTAGAGGGTCGAGGAGATGTGAAAGGAGATGAAAGAGACAGTTACTGTCTACTTTTTCTCTCAATAAAAACTAGTGGTGCCGTAATAACCATTTACATAATTTAAAAATTAAAATAAAAATCATAGTTGTATTATGATACTTATCCCAAAATCAATTGACGACAATCCTCAATAATATATATGCCAAAAAAATTTCCCACGGTAGTTGCGTTGCTGCGGCCTTCTTCGATCCGATGGATTTGCCCTTTAGAAAGCGATTCTACTTCCGGCTGAGGGATGAGATACTGGTTGGGTATTACCTGAAGAACAAGATTTTGGGGGTGCCGTTGACCGAGTCGGAATCCAAACTGGTGATCGAACTAGACATGTACGGCAACGGCGATCACGCCAAGGCCTCTTCTGTTCCGATTCCGACAACTCCCACAACCAGCTCCCGTGGTAACCAACCATACTAGAGGACGACGCCGGAGACAAGTTCGAGGTTAAAGTTGTTCACGTATTCACTGGACTAAATAAGCGTTCGGACAATATTAATGTTGTCGAAAACACAACAAGGGTGGTGCCTGGATTTGGGACCTGGCACGGGATATCCACCAAGGAAACGCCGGTCATTGATGGGACAACGTCAAGAGTGATTGGTTACAAGACACCTTTTAACTTCCCATCAGTAATAACTAATGTCAGCCCTTATCAACAACAACCACCACCACAACCACTAGTTCCAGGGATTTGGGCTATGTACGAGTACAGAATCGATCCATCCGCTTTTGGAATTCCTCATTCCAATGATGATTACGTGTTGTACAAGATAGGTAAGAAGAGGGGCTTGGAGGACTACATTACACCAGCTGCCCGGCAGAATCCGGAGAACCAACCACAACAACTACTGCGTAGACTGATTTTCCTTACCAACGGTTTGGTCCAAAATATGGTAGCCTTGTTGGTGGTTGATAGTGGTTCTTATGTCAACACGATCAGTGGACATTTCGTAGCTAAACTGGGATTGTCTCCCGCTCGTAAACTTGGCGAGAGGCGGGTAGGAAAATGGTGCAATGGGGAACAGGTCTATGTGGACAGCCAAGTGAAGGTAAAGTTTTCAACCGGTGAGTATGTCGATGAAGTGACATGTGATGTTATTACAGACATGGATGCATGCGATCTCATACTTGGGAGACCCTGGCAATTTGACCGCCGTGTTCATTTTGATGGCTTCACCAACACATGTCACTTCGTGTTTCATGGACTATCTTTTGTTCTCTTAGCTATGTCTCCTCAACAAGTGCATACCACTTACAAACAGGGATCCTTTTTGGACCAAACAAGTTAATTTGAATCTTGGGGTGTACCAAATCTATCTATCTTTACACTCCTACTATACTTAAATAACTACATTGGTGTTCTGTTTCCAATCTCGAAATCATATATACTTGAGTTAAATTATGACTAGTTTGATCAATATGAATTTCCTTTGCTGATAGGATGTGTTTTCATATTGTATGTATGTATTGTATAGCCAAGTGTAAGTAAAATTTTCAATTGGCAACTATATGGATGAAGTGAGATGTGATTACTACATCAAGGGCTACTTGGTAAAGAGCATTTTACATAGAATACCAAAATTCAGTAGCTAGCTGATCCAATAAACTTCCATCGATCTAAGACATACTAGAGGCAGTGGTAGTAGACAAGCTGTAAATTCTACCTCTAAACTACTGGTGAAATTGGTACTTTTTTCCCCTTTTCAGGAGTAGCTTGCGGCCATCTTCTGTAACATGCTAAAAACGGGTGTTTTGGTTAAAAAATTGCCTAGAAAAATGAGTAGAGAGATCTTTTTTTTTTTTTGTAAAGCAAAATATGGAGATCAGATTTACAAAATCCGAACTACTAATTAAATTAGTAAATCAGATTTTGAAAATCCGACCTAATAAAATAATATTTTTTTTCAGAAAATACATGTGAAAAATAATATATATTTTTTGTGGTCAAATAATGAACATTGCAAGGTCGGATTTTTTTAAAAAAAAATTGAAGGGTTTGAAAATTTGAAAATTTATTTGAAAATTTGAAAATAAGTGAACAGTAAAATCGGATTTTGGAAATCCGAACTTCTTTTTATTAAAAAAAAATCTTTAAGTGCAGAAAACATTGAAAATTTTTCCGAGTTTTGATAGGAATTCACATTAAATTGACCTATCCACTTTCAAAAAAAAATTTAAAAAAAATTATATTAGATATGGTAATAATAAAATCTTATATTACTAATAATTAGGAATTTGCATTAAATTGATGAAAAAAATATATTACTAATGTTGTGTAGTACTATTAAAACTGTTAGGAATTTGTATTAAAATAATTCATTATAATTTATCTGTACTAGTATTATGTTCTATTTACACGTACTAGTGTTATATAGTACATTAATACGATTATTCACTACATATCATTAGTACTAGTGTTACTTATTACTATTAAATCTATTAGTCATTAGATATTATCTAGATTAGTGTTACGTAGTATCATTAATACTACTATGACATAAGTATCACATATATACTAGTATTATTTATTATTATTAACATTGTTACACATCGTATATCACATGTACTAGTAATATAGATTATCATTAACACTGTTACACATTATTACCATTAACATTGTTACCTATTATATATTATTGTTACTATTGATACACATTACTATTAATATTGTTTTTTTATTGTTAATCATTATTTATCATCCGAACTAGTATGATATAATACTATTAATACTGTTATACATTAGATATCACTTGTACTACTGATACATATTATTATTAATATTGTTACAGATTATTATTATTAATATTGTTATCTATTAATAATAATAGATAACACACGTACTAGTGATACATATGTATTAATGTTAGAAAGTGTTGTTAACTCTGTTACTCAGTACAAAACACACGTATTAATGCTATACAATACCACACACGTACTAATGCTAACATTGATGCATCTATTTTTGCGGATATATTGACACAAATCGATTTGATATATGAATTTTCAGTTAAAGCGAATTTCTAAAGAAAATCGGATTTCACAAATCCGAATTTGGTAATACAACCAGATTCCACAAATCCGATTTTAAGAAAAAATCGGATTTCCAAAATCTAATATAAAGGAAATCTGGAATTATGAAATCCGATCTTTTATTTAGATCGGATTTTGTAAATCCGAGTTAAACCCCGACCTAAATCGAAAAACAGATTTAAAAAATACGATTTTTCCTAAAATTGGATTTGTTGAATCCGTTTTACTCAACAAATTCGGATTTTTAATATTCGAGTTACGTTAAAAGTCGGATTCCCAAACTCCGATTTTATTTTATTATGTGGGATTTTAGAAATCTAATTTTTTTCTTCCATTACCGGGTTCCTAATATTCCTTGTATTGATAAAAGCATTGCAAAAATTATAAATTTGAGATATCAATATCAGTTTTACTTTTAAAACCCAGTCTATTTTGTTTTAGAAAAAAATTCTGTTTAATGTCGGATTTAACAAATCCAAACTTAGTCAAAACTAAACTAATTATTGTGTTTTATATTTATATGGATGAAAAACAGTTTTGTTTATTATTGTGACATATTTTGACTGGTTTTAAAAATTAGTTTATCCTTTATTTATATTAAGAAAAATCTTGGTGGAAGTACGGATTTTCAAAATCCGACCTTGTTTTTTTAACAAAAAAACAATTGAAGGACGGGAAAATTTGAAAATCTGAAAATTTAATTGAAAATTTGAAAATATGAAAAAAAGTGAACAGTAAAATATTAACGCCAAAATCAAATTCCAGAAATTATGGGCTATCTTTTTTTTTGAAACATTATGGGCTATCTCTGTATCTTCAACATGCCGCTTGATCATGTCATAAACTTATCTCTTTTATTACTCCACATTCTTTTGTATGATTTCTGCATCGGTGTACTTTTCAATATTTTTTCTCCTTTTGCAGATGATTTTTTTATTTTTATTTTTATTTTTGGCTAAAAAAGAGAAAAAATAAATGTATAGTTATTTTATTTTTTCCAAATCAAAAATTCATTTATCTATTAACACAAAATTAAAGTAGAGGGGGCGCCCGGGCATCTGCCTGGGCCAAGCATCTAGTTTATATTAAGAAAAATCTTGGTGGAAGTACGGATTTTCAAAATCCGACCTTGTTTTTTTTTAAAAAAAAAATTGAAGGGCGGGAAAATTTGAAAATCTGAAAATTTAATTGAAAATTTGAAAATATGAAGAAAAGTGAACAGTAAAATATTAACGCCAAAATCAAATTCCAGAAATTATGGGCTATCTCTGTATCTTCAACATGCCGCTTGATCATGTCATAAACATTTTTGAAAGACCTTTTTACACGTGTGTCCCACCTAATCGTACCATATTCTTTCACTTATATGAAATTTGGTTTGCAGATTCATACTAATCCCAGAACATGAAATTTGGGCTTATTTTTGTATTTTTTTGAAATTATAGAGAAGTTTTAGTGATGAAATTTTATACATAAACTAACGAAATAAAGTTAAAGTTAACGGAATTGGACAAAAAATCGGCCACAAAAGTCAAACTATTTTGATGAAATTGGTTTCCGAAAATATTTTCTGAGTTGAATTGACCAGAAAGTTTTGGGTCAAATCGACCATTTTCTCGACATAATAAGAAAAATCTTTCTTCAAACAATTCAACTTCTGAAGTAATGGAGCCAAAATCACAACAGTAGAAATCATCCTTCCTGACCTCCAGACTTCTTTACCTTACATCTTGTTGTGTGGCCTTCTTGTAGCCATAAAATTTTTTATCCTTTTCCTTCAAGGATTTTTGACAAAATTGGAGACCCACGTTTTGATGATACTACCATCATCTCTTATCATCAAACCAAAGTGTTGATTGAAATTACCGTTACAAAATTTGCTAATTAACCAAGTCACCCTTCTGCAGCTACAATTGACAAATCTCCCCAATTTCATCCCCCACAAACCACAAAATCTTTCAGGATGTATTGACATGTACAGTTACAATCTGAAAACAGAATAGAGGAACAAATGCTACATCTTTGATCTAAAGGGAATAGGTTATGGAAGCCATTAAAGCTTCCTCTTTTCATGCCTTCCGATCAAAACTTGACAGCCCAGTTTTGCTCAACACATTAAACTCTCACCAACTCTCTCTTCATCCCTTCTCATTCCATTCCCACAAACCAAAATTCAACCTTTTCTCAGCAGCTGCTAAATCTACTTCGCCGGTACTAACTGGTAATGAATCCAGAGACTCCTTATTCGATCAAGAATCATCCACTGATGAGGCCAAAGTCGTGCAAGATGAGAAATTTGATTGGTATTCTCATTGGTATCCAGTGATGCCTGTTTGTGATCTTGACAAGAGGAGGCCACATGGGAAGAAAGTCATTGGAATGGACATAGTGGCATGGTGGGACAGAAATGAGAATGAGTGGAAGGTGTTTGATGATACTTGTCCTCACAGGTTGGCTCCTTTATCAGAAGGGAGGATTGATCAATGGGGCAGACTACAGTGTGTATACCATGGTTGGTGTTTTGGTGGTTCTGGTGACTGCAAGTTCATTCCACAAGCTCCCCGGGATGGTCCTCTGGTAAAACCCGAAATTTCCCTCATCATTTTTTGTTTCATGAGATCTTTGATTTCTGTATGTGGAAGTTAAAATTTTTGTTGAAATTTCGGTTTGCAGATTCATACTAATCCCAGAGCATGTGTAACTGTTTATCCTAGTTGTGTCCAGAATGGCATACTTTGGTTTTGGCCTAATGCTGATCAGCAGTATAAAGATATATTGTCTAGGCTAAAGCCACCATATATAGAGGAACTTGATAATCCAAATTACACTGGTCAGACGATTACTCGGGATATAGATTATGGGTAAGGGACTTTTCATCACTTCTTCCCGGCTTAATTTGCTCCATGTTGTTGCTCCCACTTTAATCATTACTGAAATGTTGCCTTTTGTCCTTGCAAACATGTTTAGAGGCATTTTCCATGCATGAAAAACTAAGGAGGTCAGGCTGTCGTGTGATTAGGATTTTGTCCTTGAATAACTTGCCCTCGTAACTTGACTAGTAACACAGCATTTTATTGGAAAAATTGCAGCTCATTTTCTAAAAAAGTAGATGTGATTGATGAATGAGGATGTCACAGCATAGTAGTGAGTGGAATCATCTGTTTAGTGATGATTCCACGAGGAAGGAAACTCTGAATACTGCAAACAAGAACCGCGTGCTTAATTTACACTAACAGTCGTATTGCTGCCTAACTCAGGTATGAAGTGCTCATAGAAAACCTTATGGATCCTTCTCACGTTCCGTATGCACATTATGGTATAATGAGATTCCCACAGCCCCCAAAAAGATAAGTGCCTGCCAAAATTCTAAAAAATTATCTTCCTTTAGACTGTTTTCTTCTCTTTTGCATTTTGAGGTTACCAATCTGACTGACACTGTATTGTTGTTTCCTACACTGTGAAGGCTGACAGAGAAGGAGGAAGACCGCTAGACATAAGTGTACCAAAATTCAGTAAAGATGGTTTCATTACGAAATCACCGACAGGTTTATGTAACAATTTTATTCCACCTTGTCTCTTTTACGGTTTTGGCACTCTTGGAGCAAATCCAGACAATGAATCCGCAGGAACAACAGAGGTGATCGTCAATGTTGCTTAATCTTTTCTTATCATAGTTTCCTCCCTTTTTTTGTTGATTCTTTTAATGGAACACTTCACGTGGCATTTTCGTTTACATGCAGAATCCATCTGCCAAAACTACAACTGCAACAAAGAGGTTAGGGTTGGTGTTCATCTGCATTCCAGTCAGTCCTGGTAAAAGCAGATTGATATTTACTTCACCAAGGAACTTTGCTGTCTGGATGGAGCGTGTGGTGCCACGTTGGATATTTCATATAGGACAGAATCTAATCCTGGATTCAGATTTATATCTTCTCCATGTGCAGGTAATCAATCCCAGATAGTTTCCCCATTATTTATGTTTGATTCACCAGTGATGTATAACTCTATTCTTCAGCCATTAAACACCAACAAAAGCAAGTTAGCTTCATCCTACCATGTGAAGTCAGCTTTATGGATCACCGGTTGCTGATTTGTCACCGTGCTCCACAAAATACATTTGTTTATACAGTAGGTTAATGTGTATCACAGGGGTAGTCACTTTTATTCATTTTCAGGAGCGGAAGATCCAGGAATTTGGATCCACTAATTGGAATAAAGCTTGCTTTGTTCCGACAAAGGCAGATGCCATGGTGGTTGCCTTTAGGAGATGGATAATCAAATATAGTAATGGTGAAGTTATGTGGAGGGGCAAGTACAGTGGTGGAGCTCTCCCACCAACTCCCCCCAAAGAGCAGCTCTTGGACAGGTAAAATTTTGCTTGCAGTGCACTTGAATCTTTGTTTTTCTGGTTACTCTTGAGTTCTTGTCAGTGTCACCCATGGCTGCAAATAACTTGCCGGTTTAAAGGAAGGGCAATGTATCATTACCCTTGTTTGTGCCGTGTAAATAAAGAATGGGCAAAAGCACGTGTTGGAATGTTCATAAACCTTGTTCATTCTGCAATCAACTTCAGTGTGCATTGATTCTTTTTATTCCAATAATTGTAGGAGTCTATTCCTGAGAACCATAGGCTAATTCTTTCTTCAGGTACTGGACTCACACAATGATCTGCAGAAGCTGCAACCAAGCATATAAAGTACTCAACGCGCTAGAGATCGCATTGCAGGTTGTCTCTATTGGTTCGATTGGAATTGTGGCTGCTGCTAAGCCTTCGGCTGCATTGACAGTGGCTGCACGATACACTCTGGTTTCGATGGCTATCCTTTTGTTTGTGGCTTCCAAGTGGCTGTCTCACTTCATATACAAAACCTTCCATTTCCATGACTACGAACATGCGTTTCGCTAGAAGATATTAATTACCTAAAACTACATGTGAAGTGATTGTTATGTATGCAAATATCATTACGAAAAAAATTACACGATGACACGTACATATTCAGGTCTCAATCACTCATGTTTGTTGAATATGAAGCAGCTTGTTATTATCATATATACGTATTCTCGAAATCTTCAAAACGGAAGAGCTCCTCAACCAAAAACTAGCAAAGCTCGGATGCAATTTCTTCCATTCATTAGTTACAAAAGTTTGTCGAAGGTTGGTTTACTCATGGTCGTTAGAGCGCTACACAAATTATGTGCAATTTTGACTAATTTCTCCACTCACTGTTTTAGTTTCATAAATACGAGGCTTCTTCTTCTTCTTCTTTTTTTTTTTTTTTTAATAATAATACATCTCTGTAGCGTTGAACTTTTTCAGTTGATTTGATGTTTTTTTTTTGAAAATTCAAAATAATATAATCAGTTCCTGTTTGCTAATCACTCAATCTTGTCATTGTTGTGAGGTAAAAATAGAAACGAAAACCAGAAGATGAAAAAACAATATCTTTTTTTTTTTATTTGGTACCAAACGAAAGAAATCTATACTCTATAGTATATTATACTAAGAGAGAAACCAGAGAGAGAAAACAAAAAAAGAATTCTAAAGGTGCCACATAGATAAAATTCTATGTGTCATTTTTCTAATGGTTGAGTCAAAAAATATTTACAACAATTATACTAATAGTCCTTCAAATTTTATGTAAATAAAGTTTTATCAAATGACATTTAAAACTATAGTTTAAAATAAGAAAATAAAAATTAATTAAATTTAATGGACGGGATTAATGAACATTAATGCACCAGAATTATTCCCTCCGCAAAAGAATTCCCAAAGTTACTACTGGACTCATTTAATTAATCTTTCTCAAAAAAATTTTTTCCTCCCAATCATGTAAATCAATAGACTACAATTCAAAAAAAAAATAAATACCAAGCATTCAACATTAATGTTATCTTTAAAATTTTCTCCCAAAAATATGACCTTGTATTTTTCGCCAATAAAAAAGAAAAAAAAAAGGTACAAAATTTACCTTCAATTATTACTAAAAGGATGAGATTTAACTATAATTAAATGTTGTCTTTTGAATTTCAAACCAATGTATTTATTTGTGTAATATCATATCTACCCAAATAAATATAATCTTTCCTTAATAATATCTCAAAAATTGTTATAAACTTTATCTTTATCACTGAAATTTTGGATAATTAATTATCATCAATCCTAATTAATCTCTATTTATACATGTCACACAAACCATGAGTATGTTCCAGTGCTGCAAAAATTTCTCCCTCCCTAAAACAACCCGAAATCCAAAGATGAAAGAGCAAAAACTTTAGCCCTACAATTGGTTTGTTGTTCTGAAAGTGATGAATTAATAGTGGGTCGATCGTGTGGCATGGGAGGTAATGGTTAATTAAGGTTATATATGATTTTTTTTTTCCGTATATTCTTCTGCAAAATGATGTTTTAGAGTTCTTATTTAGACGTTACTAAATTTATATTTTTTTACCCATAATTTCATTATTTCATTAATTATTATTTTCTATTGTCATAGCAAAAAGGGATTAAAGGACAAAAATTTTAACTCTACAGTTGGTTTGTTGCTCTAAATATTATTGGGTCAAACAGTACAATAGAATCTTTAATTACAACAAAATAACCATAAAAATTTTAAACTTCACACTTCGATCACACATAATCTACCATCTACTATTGATAATTACTTCATTATGTATTCTACGCGTATAATCATTTTATCTTTTCATTCAATATGTAACATTAATACAATCTTATTTATTTTACTCTACTTATAAGTGTTACTGTACAGTTCTTCAAGTGAACACTTGTATTTCAAATGATATGCATTATTTTAACTTTACAGTTACGCCTTTATTTAATTTTAGTTGTGTAATGTATCTTAATATGGACTCCAAATACATTTTACACTTTTTATATTTTTTTGTTGATTTTTTATAATGTATACAAATAAACTCCGTACGATGTGCGGGTTTAACATCTAGTATTTCTCTATTTTGTTTGTGGGTTAATAGAGTTCTATTTGTAAAACAACAAATGGAAACTTCAAATAGAAGGTTCCCATTTTTTTTTAACCCAAAAAAGTAGAATTGTCTGAACTAGTACACCTCCTTCACAGTTCACACTGCTACTTCTACTTGAAAACCTGTCCCGTCTAACTCTCAAACTCAACCTCAAACCACTGTTAAAAGCATTAAAACCTTATTTGAAGTCCAAGATCCAATCTTTCTAATCACCAATAAGGTTGTGCAACCCCCCAAATCCAAAACTAATTCTTTACCCACTCTCAACTTCAAGATCCCAAATTTGTTTCTCTTTGCAATAGATTGCAGAGGATTCTCAAGTGATCCGTCAGGCACAACCTTAACGTTACAATGAAGTTTAGTCCCTTATTGTGCTAGTGTTTTCAAACAATAGTGCTCATAAAATTATGTGTTTGCGGATAATACGATACTTACATAATTTTCACCTACATGTTTCCTTCCCCTCTTTATTTTTATTTTTATTTTTTCCCCTTCTTCGTGACAAGGTGTTCACAGTCGAAAACTGCTCCCAAAATTATACTACTTCCGTCCCAAAAAAATAGTTCACATTAAGTTTTGAGATTTGTACTAGTTTTAGAACAAATTTAAAAACTCAATATGAACTATTTTTCGGAGATGGAGGGAATAAAAGGAAAAAAGAAATTTTTACCAATTTATTGTGTTTTAATAACTACTAACTCTCTTATCAAATTCCAAGAAATTCTATGGTGCGATCCATTTGGGACCAAACAAGTTAATTTGAATCTTGGGGTGTACCAAATCTATCTATCTTTACACTCCTACTATACTTAAATAACTACATTGGTGTTCTGTTTCCAATCTCGAAATCATATATACTTGAGTTAAATTATGACTAGTTTGATCAATATGAATTCTCTTTGCTGATAGGATGTGTTTTCATATTGTATGTATATATTGTATAGCCAAGTGAAAGTAAAATTTTCAATTGGCAACTATATGGATGAAGTGAGATGTGATTGCTACATCAAGGGCTACTTGGTAAAGAGCATTTTACATAGAATACCAAAATTTAGTAGCTAGCTGATCCAATAAACTTCCATCGATCTAAGACATACTAGAGGCATTAGTAGTAGACAAGTTGTAAATTCTACCTCTAAACTACTGGTGAAATTGGTCCTTTTTTCCCCTTTTCAAGAGGAGGTTGCGTCCGATGACTGAATGCGGCCATCTTCTGTAACTAGCTAAAAACCGGAACTACTTCAAATTTTGCCCTAGAAAAGCTCACTAGTTTTTCCAGACTGATGGCCTTCCTGCTTAATCATGCTCATCAGATATTTCATTTTCATGCAAGTTCGAAATGCCCATTTCCATAAATCTCATACATGCAGTATTTTAATGTTGGTAAATGAATCAATGAGAAAATAATTTGATAATTGAGAATGCCGCAGAAAATCCATGCCAAATATGACCATAATATGAACAAAACTTCAAGTCGAACACATGTTGCAACCCAGAGTACTTCCGCAGAAGACTGCAAAGGCATACTCCTCATTGGCATGCTAATAAAATCTCAAAAATAGTCAAAACCTGCTCACTCCAGTGACATATTTGATATAAATATAACCACCACAAAGACAAGCTCATATATAGATAGACTACTGAAAAGCAACAAAGTAAATTGAAACTCAACAGAAGCATTAATAATCTCAAGTTTCCCAGCTGCTAAAAATGGGCTGAGGGATCAGAATCGCATTATCAGTTGCATTTCAATTCAAGAATGAAAAACAGTATCTGGTGACAGATTGAACTTAAAATGCCACAAAGCATCCACACATTGAAGGTTTTCGTATAGCAATTTATATAGTCTCACGAGCAATCAACAGACCAATATTCAAATGACCAATACGAGCAATCAAAGGTACTGTTGTTTTCCCTAAAGGAAGAACAGAGATAAGACCTGTTGCATCAACTATAGCAAGGAACTTGGGCGATTTACATAGTCTCATGAGCAATCAAAGCTGCTCTTTCTCTTATCTGGATGAGAACTTGTTGACGGGGCATAGGCACAAGGGTAAAAGAGAGTCCTTTAAACACAAAGTGATATTGATTGGTGTATCCATCGTGATGGACACGCCTGTCGTATAGCCAGGGTCTCCCAAGGCTAATATCGGAAGAGCTCATTTCATGAACGTAACAGGTGACTTCATCGCTGTGGTGGCCGATTGAGAATGTGACTTTGACTTCGGAATCCACAATGGTGCGTTGATGATTAATCCATCGAATTGTACGTTGCACAGGAAGTGGAGTGGTAGACAATCCCAATCTAGAAACCAAAGATGCACTGATGAGGTTATTACTAGAACCACAATCGATGATAAGCAAGGCGGCATGTTTTGGACCAGACAATTGGAATAGAAAAGATTATTGCGTTGATCCGCAAACAAATCTTCTTTTTTTTCTTCTGGTTGCTGTTGATCTGCTTTAACAACAACAACATTAGTAGTAGTGATCATCTGTTGTTGTTGTTGTTGTTGGGCAGTTATTTCCCTTGTCTTAAATATCTTACAAAACACATAATCATCGAGATGATGGATGTGGTATTCGTGCATAGCCCACAACCCTGGAACAGTGGTTGTCCATTATGGTCTCCAATAATTGATGTGAAGCTGAAACGCCTCTTGTAGACAATCACGCTATCCACCACGGCGGTGGCCGGTTCTTCTTCGGCCTCCCAACTTCCAAATCCTGCCACCACCCTCCGGCTGTTGCTGCTTAAGAGTTTGGTGAAGGCATAAACAACTTTAACCTCCAGGTTTCTCCGGTAATGTAGGGGTGCGCTACTAGTTGTGTTTGCCACGGAAGCTGCTGGTTGTTGTCATCGGCGGGGCCGAACAAGGCCGCCGCGTTGATGCCGCGGCCGTAATTACCATACATGTCCAATTCGATCACCAGTTTGGGTTCCAACTCCTTCAGTGGCACTCCCAATATCTTGTTCCGCAGATAATACCCTGCCAATATCTCCCCACTTGGTTTGAATAGGAACTTCTCCCTCACAGGTTGTGCTACTTCCATCCTTTTCAATGTTTTCATCATCATTACAATTCAACACCAAATTTTTGGTCCTCCCTGAATAAATTCTCCCCCTGCTGCGCCGGAATTCTCCCCCCAAAATAATAGAAGCAGCGCGCGCCCCCTTTTATAGTTTCGGAAAAAACAGCAAATCTCGAAAGCCTCTACAAAGAATTAAGGCATGGGCTTCTTCGTCTTTGTATTAATGGGAGCTTTCTTCCTTGTAAATTTTTGATAAAAATTAATTTAATTCCAGCCCATCAGCATCAAGTCTTCTCTCGGCCTAATTCCCAAACAAGAGTCCAAAATTGCATGTTTGACCTCCCAGTCTTCAAGCCTTTCGACTTATTTCTCTTTAGTTTCTTTCATCTTCAATCAAGTTCCTTTGAGTTGCTTTTATCTTGGTTTTAGCTCAAAACTCCAACAATTCTTTATTTGAGTACGATTCCTACAATTACAAATAAACTTACGTAAATAACACATTTGTACTCGTTATATATTGGCAAAATCTCGCATAAAAAGATATTAAAAATAGATAAATTCTATGCTCATCAATGTACCTTGTTGGTGGTGAACCACAAGAGCTCGACAACGGCGACAAGGCAACAAATGGTACCAAAGTAGGAGTTGTTGAACAAAATTCAGAGATCAACAAAAATTTTATAAAACAATCAAAAGATAATGATATGAAGAATCAGTAGAATCGAAGCACAAAATCACGTAAGGACGTACTCCCTTCGGTCCTTAAGTAAAATATAATGAATTAAACTTTGTCATTTTCTATACAAGAAAAAATAAATAATTAGAAAATACATTAAAAAAAATGTGTTCAGACTTATTTGTACAATAAAGTCTAAAATACATGTGAAATTTCGCCTAATTTCTCATTTAAAGTATTGTTTTAGTTTGATACAGTAATAAGGGAAAATCTAGAGTCCCATTGGCTATTTTTACGGAACCGTCCCGTTTTTTCTTCAACCAATCAAAATTAAGGGTATACGATGTAATCATGGGGTGAATAACATTCTAAAATATCATAAACTAATTGAGAAAATGGTTAATTTCGCCCAAAACTTCAAGGGTCTGGCCAATTTGACCCAAAAGATTTTTGGGAAGCCAAATTCATCATCTAAGTTTCAATTTCTGGCCAATTTAATCCAACTGATGAGAATTCTGTTAGATTTAACATTTCGACTGACATTCTTTTATTTTGTGTGATTTTTTTATTGGGAAAAAAACTTTGTTGATTCAAAATTTTAACATTTTATCCCGACTGTTTTGTTATTCAGTAACATACGCTTATCTTATCATTTAATTATTATATTCGTCTCCACCACATAATTTATCTTCTAATTTATTCCATTGCTCCCACGTTAAAGTCCTTCCTTTTCTTCCTTATCCTTCCTCCTTGACTTGTTTTCCGCCGCCGCAACACCACCGCCCCATTCCTCTTTTCCCCTAAAAGTTACCATCAGCATTTCCTAAATCTGTGAGGAGTTCAAACCTCATCACAAACATAAAAATTTGCCTCCACCAATAGTACCCAATCCTCCTTCCATCGCTACCAGCATTTCTGTCGCCGCTACTTTTGATAGTTATAATAAAATTCATTTTATTATAATCTTTTATGCCTAATTTGGTTATATTTTGAAGATTATTAATGGACTTTTTTATTATTTTGTGTCAATGTAGTGAAACAATAAAGGATGGACTGTTTTGAGGTTTACTGGATGCTTTATGGAGTTAAACGATGAAAAGATTTTACCACAAGGAGATTAGTCAAAGCTCTTACTTGAAAATTTTCTTTACCAAGTCAAAGAAATCCATTTCTTGATTTTCTCCACCCGTTTGACCGACCTGATTTGGTAAAAGATTTGCAGCAACAACTAAATCCATTTGGATATATTGGAAGTGATTTGAGATAAGTTGTTGTACCTTTTTTTTTGGATTTTTCGGTTAGAAAAACACCACTATAGATAGAATAGTAGTGGTAGGCTTCAAAAAACACATACCCGTAGCAACCATTAGGCTGCTACCACTATTCTACATTTTTACCACCATTTTTATTTTAGCTTTTTATTTTATTTTATTTTATTTTAAACCTTCAAAGATGTTTTTAGTCACAATGAGTGGCTAGTTTTCTTCATTTGGTTCAAGGATTTTTATTCTTCTATATTATATGTGAGACTACAAGTTTCGCTTTATTTTTTTTCTACTTTAATTCAAGTACTTGTTGATTTTAATTTCTTTTTATGAGAGTAGATACTTGATTAATCTGACAATTTAATCAAGTATTTTCTTCCTACTGCTATCAAATTGTTTATGCTGCGCTATCGTTTTAAACATTTGGCACTAAGTAGCACATTAGCAGATTATGCATGTTGGTAGTGACACGTTGAATGTGCATAATAAGTCTAATTAGGAGATCAATAGGACAAAAATATTTTAATTGCAGCTATCTCAATTATTTTAGTTTTTGGTTCAACTAAAATTTCAAATTTTTTATTGCTAGTATAATTTAACATGGAACGCTATCGTACTCAGTTAAATTATACTAAGTTTTGATTATGTGTTGGGCTTAGTCAAATATTTTTAGAAAATATAAGGGTTTTTACGGCTATCCTATTAAGCCTACGGTTGAATGCTTGAGTTGTAGAAAAATGTATTTTTAGTCGATGATCTATAAGATATTAGAATCATTCCTTGAACCAAAGTTTTTCTATTATTGATTTTCTCTCCATTTTTATTTACTTCAAATTGTCATTTTATTTTAAAGAAGAAAAATCCCCCTTGTTTGCATTTTTGTAAAGCCAAGTGTTAAAAGTCGGCTCTCTTGGAACTCGACCCGATTCCACTGTTTCTGCAAATTAATTTTGGTCTGTTAGGAAATCAAATTAATTTTTGCGGATCTCAACAAACCCGTCAACTTTTCTTCAATTCCACAAAAATTACAAAATTCTTTACTTATTTTTCCTATTTTCTTCATTCTTCTTTCTAAAAGAAGTAATGACTCTCCATCTGCCTGCACCATTTGTCCCTTGCCCACTTCTTTTCCATGGCAGCCGAAAAAAGAAATCACTGCAGAGATATGCTTATCATTTTTACCGAATTGTTATCAAAACTTCTTTTGATCATTTCATTTTTCAAAATTCTTTATGCCCATAAAATATCCTTTTACATTTCGTGGGTGTTGATTTAGAGGGTATTCTCATTTCACTTATTAAAGACATTTTTTTATCCATTAAATTCAGTTAATTACTACCTTTAATATCAAGGACTATCATTTAAATCGATATACTATGCAGAATAAGGAAAATTAATGCACCTACATGGCCGTTAAGGCGGCTAAAGGTGATGATAGTGGTGTTGGCAGATGGAGGTGATGTTAGATACTCACTTTTATTGTACACATTTTTTTAAGAAAATAACAAAATAATGAAGATAATCAACAAACAAAATTGATGTTAGATAACAGACTCTCAAAATTAATAGAATCTTTGGAGTTTATGATGACATTTTCTGAGTCATTTTGTTGAGTTTAGTAATTTTTAATGGCATTAAAATTTTTATAGTCACTTAAAATAAATTATATCATACCTTACATATGGTATCTAATTTTTTACATTAATTCTAAGTTAAAAATAAAATGAAGATAACCTTTTGGAAAACAATTTTGGAAAACAAAAATGATGTACATTAATCCAATATAAAAAAGAAATTTAAGAAACATAACTGCAATGTATAATCTAATATAGAGAGAGTATATAAATGAAAAGGGAAGAAAAAACTTTTATGGAAATTATTTTAGAACAATTAAAATTATTAGGGTTAAAATGTCAAAATTATGGGGTCCACAAAATTTTTTTCTAATAAAAAATTAAACAAAGTAACGGAATGTCAATGGAAGTGTTAAATCTAACGGAATTTATGTCAATTGGATTAAATTGGCTAGAATTGAAACTTAGGTGATGAATTTGGCTTATCAAAAATCTTTTGGGTCAAATTGGCTAGACACTTGAAGCTCTGGGCAAAATTAACCAATTTCTCTAATTTTTTTCAGCTTAATCAGGTGTGTTTAGGTATATTTACCTGTGATGCACCCTTATTGTAGGATCCTTATTGTAATCCTACGGTTGTTAATTAGCCTAATTAATCCTACGAATATTATCTTAATACGGAACCGTGCCGTAAGAGGACTTTAGCCACTCTCAAGTAATAAATATGACGTTTCTTTTCTTTTCTTTTCTTTATACACCTCCGTAGCATTTAACTTTATCAGTTAATTTGATTTAAGTTTAAAATATAATCAAATTCCTGTTTGCTAATCACCCAATCTTGTCGTTGTTGTGAGGTAAATTTCTTTTTCAAAATCCATCTATTGTTCTTTCCTTTGCCAAAAAACTTACACTAAAAAATACGCAAAAAAAAAAAAAAAACGAAAACCAGAAGATTAAAAAAATAAAAATAAAAATCTTCTTTGTTTGGTACCAAACAAAATAAATATTTTTCAATTTTGTTTCTGAGTTAAAAGAGTTTGATTTTTAAAAGAAATGGAAACTTCAAATAGAAGGTTTCCCATTTTTTAATCCAAACAAGCAGATTTGTCTGAACTATTAGCTCCTTTACAGTTTACACTGCCAGCATTAAACCTTATTTGGAGTCCAAGATCCAATCTTTCTGATCATCTCTCAACTTCAAGATCCCAAATTTGTTCCTCTGTACCATAGATTGCTGAAAGAAGGTTCCTTTTGAGGTTGATTCATTGTCGGCAGTAAAGGGTCAGTCTCAGATTGGGAGGTGAGTTGCTGAGTTTTTTTCCTTGGGGAATTGATATTTACTGATGTGTTTGGGTGACCCATTGTGTGATTTGATGGCAAAGATCTGATCTTTATGACTTAATTTCACTCCATTCCTTGATGCTTTTAGTTAGTTGAATTATTGGGTTGATACTGGAATAAAGGGGTTGTTGTTGTTGTTGTTCTAAATGAAAGAAGCCAGTTCAGCAGCAACTGACCCAATTGGGCAAAACCTAATCAAGCTAATTAGCAACGTCTGCTTCTCAGTGTTTGTGTTCACAGTCCTCATAATCACTGTAATTGCGATAACATACCAGCCCCCTGATCCATGGGAGTCTTCCAGAGCTCTTACTAGGGTTTTTACTCAAGTGGAAAATGCCACCTTTAAGACTGATACCTCTGTGCTCAAGACTGGTGAGGACATTGCTGATCCCCCAGTTCCAGCTTCTGCTTCGGGTGCAGTGGCGGTGGAGAGAAATGCATCCATCACTGAAGATGTGATTGAGAAGACTGAAATGGATCTTAAAAATGTGAGCTTGAAATCTGGTTGTGAGGATTTGAATGTGGTGAATTGTTCTGATCCCAGGGTTTTGATTACGATTGAGAGGTTTAATTTGAGGGTCTTTAAGTCGATTGTGTTTTTAGATTATCAAGCCCCGGTGAATGGCTCGAAGCCTAATGAATGTGATGTGGCATGGCGGTATAGGAACAGGAAGGAGAAGTCGTGGAGGAGGTATCGGGATTTTAGGAGGTTTGTGATTGGTTATAAGAACGATTGTAGTTTTAAAGTGGTGCGCGCTGGGCATTGGCACTCAGGGTTGAATGCTCGTTTTCGTCCAAGGATTCCCCGACCAAACATAACTAAAAATGGTCCCAAAGCAGGGAAACTCAGTCCTGCAGTTAGAGATGATGAGATCAATGATACCCTTCCAGTTATAGGATCAGAGTCAGCATTTAGAAACGGGAAATACCTATATTATTCACGGGGTGGTGATTATTGTAAAGGGATGAATCAGTATTTGTGGAGCTTTTTGTGTGCGCTTGGGGAAGCTCAGTATTTGAATAGGACATTTGTAATGGATTTGAGTATCTGTTTGTCCTCGAGTTACACACAGAGCGGGAAAGATGAGGAAGGAAAAGATTTCCGATTTTATTTTGATTTTGAGCATTTGAAAGAAGAGGCTTCAATCTTGGATGAGGAGCAGTTCCACAAGGATTGGAAGCAATGGGATAGAACTCATAATAAGAAGATCACTGTAAGAAAGGTGCCAAACTATAAAGTTACACCAATGCAGTTGAAGAAAGATAAGAGCACGATTATATGGCGTCAGTTTGATGCTCCGGAGCCCGAAAACTACTGGTATCGGGTTTGTGAAGGTCCTGCTGCAAATTACATTCAAAGGCCCTGGCATGCTCTCTGGAAATCAAAGAGACTAATGAACATAGTTACAGCAATTAGTGGGAGCATGGATTGGGATTTTGATGCCGTTCACGTGGTTCGGGGGCAGAAAGCACAGAATAAGGAGCTATGGCCTCACCTGGACGCTGACACATCCCCGGATGCCATTCTAGAGAAACTCCAAAGGGTCATTACTCCTTGGAGGCACTTGTATGTTGCCACAAATGAACCATTTTACAACTACTTTGACAAATTGAGGTCACATTACCATGTTCATTTACTCGACGATTACCAGTACATGTGGAGCAATACAAGCGAGTGGTACAACGAGACAACGGCTCTAAATGGTGGGCATCCAGTTGAATTTGATGGATATATGAGAGTTGAGGTGGATACTGAAGTTCTGTACAGGGCGAAGACAAAGGTGGAAACCTTTTATAACCTGACTGCAGATTGCAAGGATGGAATAAATACTTGTTGATAGACGTATTTGAGTCCTCTGTGCTGGTGTCTCTTTAAGCCCAACAGGTTGGAAATAATCTTCATTGGGATTATACGTTGGGTCATAATGTGAGTTGCCTGTAACACCATTGTAGTTTTATTGATTATACCTCTTTATTTCTTACATTTTTGTATTTAATCGTGCATTGTTCAGCGTGTAGAATTGATTTCATCTTTTTAGCTCCTCAAATTTATATGATTTTCAACAATTTGTCTATCAGTCTGCTTATTTTTTGTAAACTGCAAAAGCATATTTAGAAAAGTTTCTGCCGTTTCAGAAAGAGTAATATGAGTGGACGTCCTTGCATTGGAAATATACTTTCCGACAGGGTCCTTTTTCTTTTGGCATTGTCCTCATGGTTTCATGCTTAATTTGTTTGTTATCACTCAGCCCTTGCATAATGAACCTGGAAATTTCCTATTGAAAGGTACTTCATGCTTTTGATATGAGCATTATGAGTTTTAATATTACGGACAAAAATCTTCGTGAACCTGAAAATATTTGTTTATATGAGAAAATCTCGTTGCTTCATGCTTTTTTAGAAAGCATTAACCTAATATGATTGCGTGCCTGCTGAAACAATTTGAGGTGTGTGTTTGGCCAATGTTGCATATGATGGTATCATGGTTCTCTACAAGTAAGGTGTATCTGTTAACAAGGTACTCATTTTATGTTTGACCTCCAATTGTGTGGATTTGTTGGTGAATTGTTCCTCTGCATTTCGTCGGTCTCAGGAGAAGTTTTCAGGAAAAATGGATAAGGCCTTTGATATGGCTGCTGACTAAGTTCCTAAATTTTTCTATTGGAAATTTACATTCAAGTTGAAGTCCAGCACTTTACAAACTGTGCTCTTTTCTGGGGGAAAAATCACGAAAACCTTACCGAGGATTGAGTTTGCAGCATTGATGGTGCAATGTTACAAGATGAAAGATGAATTGGATCTCACAACAAATGACTGCCATTTAAGAAGTTTTCAGTTTTGATGTAATGGCAGCTGATGTCATGTGTTGGTTTTCACAGTCTGGGTAAATCTGTTGGTAAAAAAACAGATGTTTCCGCAACAAGATTTTGCTGCAAAAACACAGAAATCTTGGCAGCAGTAGAAAACAAGTCATGTTGTTATTGGTGGTGAAGTAACTAGAATGCAAGTTTTGGAAGGAACACCACTCACCACTTTCTTTCTTTGGATGGTTGGTTGGGCTGAAAGGACCATTCTAACTACTGCAGTTTTTGTCTTAGAGATTACTACTTCATCCCACAAAACGTCTCCTTTAAACATTGCCATACGAGAAGTCCAGAAATCAGGAAGAAGAAAGAAGAAGAGGGTGTCCATCTGCATTATACTACCTTCTTATGTTAGTGTGAATTCTGTTCTTATGCTGCTAAGTTGAGTTGAGGAGTAAAATTAATGAAGCATACCAGTATTAGCTTACTTCCTAAATCGGGAAATTTTAGCACATCATCATCATTTTAATGAAGCCTTACAAAGTAGTATTGCTTCACTTACCCACTTCATCAAATGGGCTGCAAATCTACCGGTCAATCACTCTAAGAAGTCGGTCAGACAATTATAAATAACCAATTTCTGATGCCAAATCCTTGGATCAATCCACACATGTATAAACCGCAACTCCATACAAGTCGTCCACAGATATCTGACTTTACCAGCCTAAATGTGTCAACAAATGGATTAGGGACGATTTTTCACACAATTTTTTTTTTTTAACTTTTTTTTTAATGTTTCTTCCTACTCTAAAATTATTCCTGAATGTTCAATCTAAATGTGTGTGTGTGTGTGGGGGGGTGGGGGGATTCTAATGTAGATCTAATTTAATATATATACCTCTTGTCCCGAAATTATTGTCAGAAATGAATTTGTGCACCTCATTTTTCCCTTTGACTTGCTTAAAAAAATGGTCACGGTGTAAATTAATCAAACCCACACTCAAAAATTAGATACACTCCCCATCTCGAGAAAAACTTTCCGATTTGAATATTTATGTACAATCTAAATTGCATTATTCTAAATAAAAATTCAAACAGAACAATTATTTTAGAACACAACGTAAATATCAATCCGCTATCACAAATTGGGAATTGGAAGATGGAAGAGAGGAAAGTGAAGGGCAGGCCATATGCATTTATCTACCATTCTTCAATATTCCACACATCAACCCAAATATACGCATGAACTTGAATGCCTACTAACTGGTTGCTAGCTCCACTATAGCACATCTACGTTAGCGCACTACTTGTGGTTGAGAGTAAGATGTAATACAATTTCGTTTTCGACCTCATTTATTACTGTAATCAGTATTTGTAGGGTTCGTTTCCCCCGTACGTATATAGAGCCTTTTTTTTTAAACCAGATAAATATCACCAAGTTAAATGAATTTAAGTGCATAAATATGTTTTCTTCCTTGAACTAGAGGTAGGAATATTGTATGTAACAACTATGAGAACAACTAATTTTTCATTTTGTTCATGGAAAGCGGGAATCGTTGCTAGCCAGTCAAAACCTTAACTCAATTTGCTATCTGAAAGCGGGAACTTCATCAAATACTTCCTGCAATTCAAACTATACATTGGGAACAAGTGCTTATGGACATCGTATAATCGAAAATTAAGTTAGAAACTGTTTATGTACACATATATGTTTCAAAGGCATTTAGAAAGGGTAAATCTGTCACATTTTTATGATTATAAACTGATCAAAGAGGGAAAAAAGACAGAAATTTGTCAAATAAAACTAATGTCAAAAAATCATCATCATATATATAAATTCACGATTGAACACCAGGATCACCGTTATTAATACAAAGAACGAAGAGAAGCTCATTATATATATATATAATTATTTTGACCTTGTGAAATATATTACCCTTTTGGTCCTAAAATTATTGTCTAGTTTGGATTTTCATTTTCAGTATAATTTGAAGTAAAAATAAAAACTCAAACTGGACAATAATTTTGAGACAAATGTAATAATTCATGCATCTAGAAATCAACTGCATGCATGGAATTTAACTACAAATAGTTCTAATTGTTAAGTAGTGTCCCCTTAATGTTTTTTTTTTTAAAAAAAAAAAGTACTATAAACCATATCATATTTCTTAATTCCTATTTGTATTTTAAATTTTTTGATGTATCACGTGGTAGAAACATTATATTGTTCAATTATACACCATGATGTTCAAACTCTTTCTCTAAGATGGGATGAAAAAGGTATGAGAGGGTGCCATTAAATGCAGGATCTCAAAGCATGGATATGTATATATATATATGTATATTGTATATATATATATATATGTGATTAATTAGTCATTTAGTTATGTATCTTTCTGTTGTTGATGACTGAAGTGCTGCCCCTTGGAATCATTAGTAGCAGTAGTAGGGATGATGGCCGGAGCATCCCAAGCAGCAGATCCAAAGCTAAACATCAAATTACCCACATCATCACCATCACCATGGCCATCAAGATCAAGTAGTAGCTGCTGCTGCTGGTTCTGGGAGTTGATCAACACATCTCGGTGAGCATCACCAGTACTCATCAAAGAGTTGAAGAATGATGAAAAAACATCGTGGTGATCATCATCAATGCTCATCATTCCATACATATGATGATCCGCATGATCATCAGTCATCATCATCATCATGTGATCATCTCCTCCTCCCCCAAACATTAATCCGCCTTGTTGATCTTCTTCTTGCATGAATGTCGATGAATGAAAAGGTGCAAAAGTAGTACAAGTGCTGCTGGGATTATGAGTAATTCTTTTGGAGGGGGAGCTAGATGTTGAAGGCTTGTCATGATCACCATCTTGATTATTGTTACTTATAATGTTGTTGTTATTATTATCAGAGACTACTACTGAATGATGATGATGATCTTGGTTATAAGGAGGTTCCATTAATAATGATGGTGATGATGACAAGAGGGGCTTGTGAGTTCTGGGATCAATCCCTTGGCTAATCAACTTCTTGCTCAGGTGTGTGTTCCAGTAGTTCTTTATCTCATTATCAGTTCGCCCTGGAATTCTCCCCGCTATCAACGACCACCTATATATAGTTACATACATAAGTACCATTACCAAATATTATGTCTTCCAAATCTTTTAAACTCCAATAAGAATGAATTAACAAATATTGCTTTAGTCACTTGTAAAATTATACTTCCCTCCGTCACGAAATTATTGTCCAATCTAGATTTTCATTTTTAGTTAAAATTGCACTAAATTAAAAATTTAAACTAAATAATTATTTTGAGACAGAGTATTTGTTATTGAAATTAACTTTAATTCGTCACTGTGATTGTCAATCACTACATTAATTACAAGCATTACACATTCAACATTGGGTTTCAATGAAATATCCAGCGCTTGGTTCTATTAAAATTATTAAGGGTACTATACTAGAGCCCACAATTATGCAAGGACGTATCATCAATATGCATTAATTCCACCTATTTGTACAAGAGAGCTCACTTTGGGTAAAATAAATTTGACTAGTATTGATCCAAATGCCAATGTGAAATGAGATGAATCGATTTGAAGAGACGTACGGTCTATCTTTACCATCAGTTTCTACAAATGTAAATGAGTGTATATACACATGGTAATTTTTTTCCTTTTTAGAATAAAGGGTGTATATTATATATTATCACATGGACTAGCTAGGACAGAACTTCATTACCATATTAACTCAAAATTCAATCACTCATTTCATATATTTCTCAGATTCTTTTAGAGTAAAACTTAATTAGTTAGAAATGAATAAACCTTTGCAAGATCAAGCAGCAGTAATCAGTAGAAATGCTAAGAAAAGAACAATATATCAACGTACGATGACAGGTAAAAATAAAAAATTCACCTGCTGAAAACCCAATGACTCACATCAACTAAGAAAAAGAAATCAAGAGGGGAACAAAACATAAAGGAAGGAGAAAGAAACCCTAATCCATCCACTTTTTTTTTTTTTAAAAAAAAAGGGGTAAAAAAGAAACACGCAGACACACACTAGGGAAAAAAGGAAGAAGAAAAGAAAGAAGACGCATCGCATCATACCGGTTGCCGAGGAGGCGGTGGAGGCGGAGGATGAGGTCTTCCTCGTCGGGGGCGATGTGGCCGCGCTTGACAGAAGGACGGAGGTAGTTCATCCACCTCAGGCGGCAGCTCTTCCCACAGCGGAGGAGTCCGGCTTTCTTAGGGAGAGTCCTCCATTTTCCTTCACCTTCTCTCTTGATGTACTCCGATAACAGTTGATCTTCCTCCGGCGTCCATGGACCTCTCTTCAACCCCGCCTTGCTGCCGTTGTTGCAACATGATGATGGTGATGATGTGGCGGTCTTCTTGTTGCCAGCCGGGGTGGTGGTTGGGAAACACGTCGGTTGTCCGGCGGCGACGATGGAAGAGGAGGAGGAGGAGGAGGGGGAAGGGGATAATATTGATGATGGGTTGTTCTTCATTTTTACGTTTTTTTTTTTTTTTTTGGTTTGATGTTGGTGTGAGATGGGGGGGGAGGAGGAGTGGGTGTTTTGTGGTGTGGTGTGTGTAAAAAGTGGTGATATGGTGGTTCATTTTCATTTTGATGTGGATGTAATATTTTCTTCTCCTCTCTTATTTTTCTCTCCTTTGGTTCATTTTCCATTTTGCCCTGTTTTTTTTTTTTTTTTTTTGAGTTTTTGGCTTATTCGTAGAGAGAGCGAATAATAATTAGTAGTAATAGTATTCATATCATTGTCATGTCACCCCATTCTACGTACTAGGTTGATCAATGATATATCACTTACATCTGCTGCTGATCATTTCGTCTCTCTCTCTCTTTTTATGGTATTTATTTATTTATTTTTTACTTGTTAATGTTATATAAGTACTAATAACTATAGTACGTATACTAGTATTGGTCTTATAGTTCTCACGTTTTATAGGACCATTTCCTCTTGTAAATCGCAACTCTCCGTATTGTGTGTGTGTGTGTGTGTGTGTGTGTGTGTGTGTGTGTTTTTTATCAAATTTGGAATGGTAAAAACAAATTTATTTGAAGATTTAACTGGTTCTGAAGTTCGAGGTTTGAGAGACTGGAAAATAGTAGAAATATAAATTTCTGTGGCCAACTTAAACTGATTCTTTTGCTCTCTATTTTTCCCAACTAAAGGCAGCTTCTATTATAAGAATAGTAGAAAATGTGAATCCTTGATTATACAAATTGCTAAGAATCAAAACTCGTCTTAATTGTAACTGGGTTGAAGTCATGGAGATGGAATCGTTTGGATTTCACTACACATTAATTCCTTCCTACACAGTAATAATTTAGTGTACTTGTCGACATAGCTACAACTACTACTATATACGACTGTGCCACATTTCCGCGGGGGGGTTGGTGGTGGAGACTAAAATGTCCCACAAATAACATAAACACTATATATTTACGTGGTTTACTTATCTACGGCCGGCGTCAAAGATGAAATACAACCAAAGATACAGGTGTTTCAACACGTAATGTGTTGAATACTAATACAACTAATATAGAAAGTTTTAGTTTTAAGTCTTTCATTACAGTTCCAGCAATTTATGAAAGAGCAGCATCCCAATTCTCACCCCCCATCCAAGAGAATTGTATCACTAAACAAACCTACACATCTCCGAGTCACGAGAATAGCCACTTAAAACCAAAAGCACTACTATGCACCTTACGCCTCAATAACCTCACTGTGAATCTCTCACATAATTGCTACAACCCCCCAAATACAAACATTCTTCTAACCTTACCTATATACTCTAGGTACTGAGTACACAAACAGAGCGTAACCAGGAACATTAAGACTCTGATTTCCGGGTTCCCCACAAGATTTTGTAATTTAAGGAATCCTAGCTACGTACTAAACATGCATGATTATGCTGCCATGTTCTGCAGCCTCATGTGCTTGTACTTCTGATCAGTATTAAACCATCTCGCACTCTCCGATACCCCTTTGGCCAAAACTTGCTCCAACGCGTAAACCCCTTCTCTTAGGGCAGCGTCAATCTTTGTCGACGCCCCAAAACATAACAAGACATGAAAAGAAAGAAGAAAAAAGTAAGTTTTTCTTTTATCTCTCAATCATTTCTCCTGTTTTAGCTAGGGCTTTGGAACCCAAAAAAAAAAAAAAAAAGTGATTTAGCCACACAATTAAAAAAAAAAGTATCATATCAAGAGATGTGGTCCAATCGGGGGATGGGGTTATGGTCCCTTCTTAAGCTTTTATTTTATCTGATGATTTTTTTTGCAACTTCAAAAGCAAATCAAAGAATAACAGTCCTCTTGGATGGGAACAACAAGAGAGGACTAACTAATGCTCTATATAGAGAGGGGACCTATCTCAAAGAACATACAAGATACATACCCGTTCCGAAGCTGTGGCATTGAACTTTTGCAGCAAAAATGCTTTTGGATCCATTTGACCTGGAGGCCTCCCAATACCTAACAAAACAAAAATAAAAAGAGCAGATTTTGACATCCAAAAATACAGATGTGAAGTGGAATCAGCCATCTGCATTCTAGAATCCAAATCCAACCTATTCTCAATCGAGGAAAATCTGTATTTCCGCGGTAGTTATGCATCACGCTCTTCAGCCTGAAGTATTTCGCAACATCACAAAAATAGGTAAGGTATTGTGCATTTACAGGGCGAAAAAGCGACTAAAGAACAGAGACCCAATGCAATCAAAATCATTTTAGTGGAGCAACAAATGTTTGACATCTAAAAGATCCTGTATTCCAATGGAAAACTGGCAGTTCAAGGGGAACATTTCCAAAGTTAATGAAATCTACAAAAAGTTAGAACTTTGCAAAAAACCCAAAATTTCTTTAAAGCGACTTTGAATTGTAATTGGTGCAGGGTGTGAAGTTTTAGGCATACTGTGGTGACTGACATTGAGCATAACTGAATCAAGATACATAAATCTCTATATTCCATACCCCTTGTGACCTCCATGACCCCCGTTGGGATTCAGACGAAGCACGCCACAAGGCAACTGCATGTCATCATGAAACTTTGTACAGAAACCACAAGTCAAGGGACATACATGGTAAATGAAACCGTTAACTCAGGAAAAATAAAGCGGAAGGAGGTACATCAACAAAGAATCGGCGCGTACCACAATCACACGATTGAGAGGGAGCTTGTAATAAGCTGCTAGCGGACCACTCTATAAAAACGTGAATGTCGTCAGATCATATTCACATACAACAACCACAAAAAAAAAACATATGTTTGCTTCACTTTTGAGAAATATGAATGCCATTCATGAGAATTAGGACATAACTCATAGTCTGAAGAAAGAGCTCTAGTTATGAAGCGAATCACTTTCTCACTTACAGATTCACCACTAAGGTTCATATACGTTTGTGGTTTTGCAAGGAAAACAGGAACACCGTTTACAAACCCTGAAGATCATGAAAACAATTCGGAAAAAAAGAAAAGAAAAAATCTATCAAAAATTACAATGATAAAGCAAGCTTAGAAGCAACTTAAATCACAGGAATAAATTATAAGGAACCGTAACTCACGAACAATACGTGCCTTTACCAAACATAGCTTTACAGTGGATTGAGTCCATTGAAATTCCGACGGACTTTGCAAATGCATCAATCAGTTCAAATCCAACCTGTTTCAAGTCAACCCTTCAACGACAACACCCAACTCCAAATTAACTCATCAACAACAAATCTTGGCAAATATATATACATACATTGTGCCTGGTTCCCTTGTATTTATCACCAGGGTTCCCTAAGCCCACAAAAAGCCAAGGCTGAGCTGAACAAGAAGAGCAGAAGTACCTCCTGGGGATCATTCTTAGCATCACTAATCATTAAGTCTGTCTCTGGGTCAATCTGGAACCATAATAAAATCATGCAGCATAAGAGCCTGTTTGGATGACATTTTAATCCACATTTCTAATTTTAAAACAATTTTGCATCATAAAACAACTTTTTGACATCTCAATGGATTATTTTCACATTCCCACTCTTACTTTGGCACCCAAAAAAACAGAAACACTCAATTCACAGAAATCCCAAGCTACCTCCATCTGCAGTACAGTTTAACACCATAATGTTTGTTTGGTCCACATTTCCTTTTGCAATTCGAATAATATTTTCACCGAAGGAAACAACCTTCTACATCTAGAATCCATCTTTTCAGACAAAATAAAAAAAAATAAAAAAAAGAAGCCAAGAACTCAATTCCAACCAATCCTACAGAAGTTCCTATAGTAGACAACAATTTCATGCATACATAACAAAAGTAATGTACACAAAAGAAACAAGAATCCAAACTGGACAAATTTAATCAGGTAATCCAAAATACCAATGTTTCATTGATTACAAATTAGCTTAAAATCTGAACAATAAACGAAATGCCAGGGAAAGAGAAAGAGAAGATGTATGGGATCAAAGAGGAGGCCAAGACTCTACTTTCTTAATCAAAATTCCATACATAAGTAAACAAGAACCCCAAGTTCTGCCATTGACAGCAACATCACATGCACCATTGTTTGTAAATGAACTGAAAATAAGAAAAGCAAATGAAAAATACCTGAAAAGATTAAAAAAAAATGAGAATTTTTTTGGGTCAGATCAGAGACAAAGACTCCAGATTCCGTCGTTAATTTAGTGAAAAGAACCCTTGAGAACTCGAAGTCAGGGTGGATTATAGATGCATGCAACGTGGTTGACGAAATAGCCCAAAGAAAAGATATATACTAGTTCACAGACTTCAGAGTCGTAGTAGTAAAATGACTAAAACGTACACGCTATGTATAAATTAAAGTCAAAGCTCTAATATTAGGTCAGGAAGCTCCGGAGGAAAACTGAGGACTACCGGCTAAGAAATGCTGTTGAGACGAGTAGCGGCTCAGGCATCGGCTCACTACCGGCGGCGTTTGCTCACGGCGGCAACGTCATCTGCTCCATTGCCGACGTCGCAGCTGTTACGTTTCTTCACTTCCCCATGTCCTCCCCCTTTTCCGGACGCAGAGAGTAATTCCGTCGAACACTTGGAAGACTCCAACACCACTACCGCCGCTAAAATCTCAATTGACCGCTCTGGATTGTACAACCCACCTGGTATCTTAATTTCAGCCTACTTGATTGAATTTAGAAGCTTCGGTTAACTGTTAAGTTTTCTTCTTAGGAAGAAAGATTGACATTTTGAATTTTTGCAGAGCATTCGCATGGCGGGTCGGATTCTGAGTCGGAGCTTGTGAAGCATCTAAAAGGAATAATTAAATTCAGAGGGGGTCCAATAACGGTGGCGGAGTACATGGAGGAAGTGCTGACTAACCCAAAGGCCGGTTTTTACATAAACCGGGATGTATTTGGAGCTCAAGGAGATTTCATCACCTCTCCTGAAGTCAGCCAGATGTTTGGGGAGGTAAATATTTTAGCCACTTTCTTGTGCCTGCGCATGTTCTTTTTGCATTGTTCTTTTCCTGAGATTTTTCTCCTATATTTTCATATAACTTATCACATTTTTTGTACAAGGTATTATTAGTGGCAAGTTGATGGTTGGTTAATTTTAATGTTTCCATGTGATGTTTGAATCTTTGTTTTCTAGTCGAGTTTATGTCCAATAAGTTCCCGTGATAGGATTCTGTTGTCTCACAATTTGTCACCCTAATATGCTCTTTCTCTCGGACAAAGTATGTATCAAGGAATGTTGTTCATTTGGGCACCAAGTCTTTTACCTGTGAATGAGGCAGGCCTTCCTTGGCAATGTGATCTAAATTTTTTTTTCCCTGTATATACAAAATAAGAATGATGTCTAATTGGGCTCCAATTCGTCCATCATCTGCTGATGTTTATTTGCTGTAATGGCTAATATTTAGATGGTTGGTGTATGGATAATGTGCACCTGGGAACAAATGGGACAACCTAACAAAGTGAATTTGGTTGAGCTTGGACCAGGAAGAGGAACGCTTTTGGCTGACCTCCTAAGAGTAAGATGTTATTTCTGTTCTTAGTGCTTGATGAGATGGGTGAAAGTCTGGCATCCTTGAGTTAATTGTGGCTTGGAATCATAGGGTACATCCAAGTTTAAGAATTTTACGGACTCATTGCACATACACTTGGTTGAATGTAGTCCTGCATTGCGAAAAATCCAATATCAGAGCTTGAAGTGTGAAGGCGAAGATGCCGGTGATGAGCAAGGGAAGGGGAAGCATATTGTGAGTACTATGACTGGGAGCCCAGTATCCTGGCATTCTACGTTAGATGAGGTTCCAGCTGGAAGTGAGAGAACTATTTTAATTCCATCAGATTGCTTCTTCTTCCTTTTTTTAATTTATTTTTTTAAATGTTTCATCGGGTTACTTTGTGGATCAGTTATGTCTGTTTCAATGCTGTAGTTGCAGAAATGATAATCTTTCCCATTCATTCTTGCAGCACCTACTATAATCATCGCCCATGAGTTTTATGATGCCCTACCTGTTCATCAGTTTCAGGTGCATTTTGTTATTTTCCTTGTTTTTACTTCCATTCAGCTCTTTTGTCTCCTTGTGTTGTTGAACTATCAGTTATGGCTGCTTTTTTTTTCGCCTAACTTTTATGGCTGCTATTTGGGCATAAAGCTGAGACATTTTGTTATTTTTTTTTGTCTTCTTCAATCAATCACTGATATTTGATCTGCATTCTGAATTTCAATTTGGCTTCCCCCTTTATTATAATTAACACCTCAAACCTGTTAAGTTGGATAAACTTTTGTCAAATCTTTCAATCTACCTATTGTAATACCTTAGAACAGAATTATATCCTGAAGCATTTTTGGTTGCTGATAGTGTGTTGTTTCTGTTTTATTCTTTTTGTAGTTTCTACTTATACTCATTCTTGCAAAGAAAAAAATTTCTGACTCGTCTTACGTGCTGACTCATTTATCTCTTGCACATTTGTGCTTGTATGCAGAGAGCTTCCCATGGATGGTGTGAGAAAATGGTTGATGTTACTGAAAACTCATCGTAAAGTTTCTCAACTATGATAAAACCTTCGCCCATACATTTCTTTCCATATTTGATGAAAAAGGGTTGAATGTGTTTAATTGGTGGTGAATGTTCTTTGAATGATATGATAGGTTTCAATTCGTTTTATCCCCACGGCCTACACCTGCAACTCTTTACTTAATGAAACGCTGCAAGTGGGCAGAAGCTGGAGAATTTTCTAAGCTTGATCAAATAGAGATTTGCCCAAGAGCTATGGATTTAACTCAAATAATTGCTAAAAGAATAGGAGCAGATGGTGGTGCGGCTCTCATCATTGATTATGGCCTCAATGGAATAGTCTCCGACAGTCTACAGGTCATTACTTGATTCCATTTCATGGATGATCTTTCTGAGTAGGCGTTTGCTGCAGTTTGATATTTTAGATAACTAATGCAAAATTTTGATCACTTTCAGTTTACACCTGAGTTTTTCCATAAAAGATGCAATAGAATAGCCTGAGCCTTATGGTCTCGTCATCTTGCAGGCTATCCGAAAGCACAAGTTCGTCAATATACTGGATGATCCCGGCTCAGCTGATCTTAGCGCCTATGTTGATTTTGCTGCAGTGAGACATACTGCAGAGGAAGCTTCAGGTTTTGCTATAATGCAGTGATATTATCACTTTCGCATCTACCCTTGCATATGTTTTTCTATCATAATTCCGATTGGAAATTGATTGCAAATACACAGTAAATTTCCTTCTTTTTTTTTTTTTCATGCACAACCCGCAGCAGGATGAAGATTGTAGTACCATGATTTTGATGAATAATCTTTTTCTCCCTGCATAGAAAATGTGGCTGTCCACGGGCCAATATCCCAATCGCAGTTTCTAGGCTCGCTTGGGATTCATTTTCGGGTTGAAGCATTGCTGGAAAACTGCACTGACGAACAAGCAGAGTCATTGAGGACGGGTTATTGGCGGTTGGTGGGTGAAGGCGAAGCCCCGTTTTGGGAGGGTCCGGAGGAGGAAACACCCATTGGGATGGGGACAAGGTACTTGGCCATGGCTATTGTGAACAAGAATCAAGGTGTTCCAGTTCCATTTCAGTAAGGAAACCTAGCTGGAGCGGGTCTTATTGCCAGCAATATATCGGCATTCCACTGCTGATTCTGCACTACTGCCAAAAGAAACATCATCTGTGTTGAGCATTGAAGTTTACCTTGATATCGGGTTTATTTGCACCTGCGGTAACATCTTAAATCAGTAGCCAGTAAGATTGTGAAGGACGACATGAGATTTTGAGTATGAATGTAGATTTATCTTTGCCTAAGTGTGGCTTTGGTAGAGAGCCCTGTTCTTCAGTTGTTGGTTTAGAAACCTTTGGTCCTTTTGTAGAAAAACTTCAGATTGTGTTAGTACAAAAAGAATTAAAAATACTATTTGGTTTTATTTTCTAGAAAATCAATAGTACTCCCTCGGTCCTTATTATAATGTATTTTGATTTGTACTAAATTTCATTTTTTGAATTTTCTAATTGAAAATGAAATCTTAAAAATATTTTATAATAATTGGAAGACTACAATAATGTAAAATTATATTTTTAAAATTCGATGAAGAATACAATAAATGAAATTTAAGATAAATCAACAAATGAATTATAATAAGGATTTGAAGGAGTATATTTCAAAGTTTATGGATGGTTTCAACATAGCCCGAACTAAAAGCTGAACTTTGCAATTAACTCTAAAGTAATAAATATTAATATTACTGGTGACTGGTGAGGCAAACTTGAAAGGACTCCTAAATCGGAGCTTTTTGCTGCAAAATAAAATAGTCCGCCGGAAAAAGGAGTTTTACTCTTTTTTTTTTTATTTATTTGTTCTAATGGTTGTTTTTTTCAAATGTAGCCCACAAACAAAATTAAAAGATGGTCAATACTTTTCCCTCCCGGCCCCAAATTCCCGCCAAGAAACTGGTAATACTGTACAAGTATACGACTTCTCAATAATAATCATTTATTTACTAAGTAGTGTATCACTTTTCTTTTTTTTTTCATATAATGTACAATTAATAAGATCACCTCAATATATATAACTAGCTTTCAATTTTACATTTAATGGATGTCAAGTACTTAGCTGTAATATTAATATAGTTAGCGTCTGATGAGTCCATTAAATAGTCGAGATTAAAAATTGATGACATAATTTAATCTTTTCATTATTATATATCAATAAAAGATGAAAATATAATCGTGGTCATTACAAACATATGAGGAAAAAGGAAATAATTCGCATATGTAGCGTCTATAATATACATGTATGTATTTTCGTTCGTTGGATTAATTTTTCGCTTGTTTGTTTGTGTTTTTATATAACACCTTAACAAAAAAAACAAAGCTACTCTAAATATACAAAATAAAAGTCAAGTGAATGAAAAATAATAATGATTAATATTTTGCTCATTCATACATTCATTAGGTGGACTACACACAAAAAGGAAGAAAACAGCTAATCCCCAACCAAATTAGCCTTAGCCCCACCAACCATTATATCCTTCACTCCAATTATTATTTTTTTTCTTTTTATTATCTTGTCCTCTCTCTTTCCACACATTATCAATCTGATTTTCGCAATTAATTAAGCCTCTAATTTTCTCCAACTGATACCTTAATTTGCCCCCTCTCACATATATGGTGAATACCAAAAGACCCCAAAAGAGTTCATGTGGTTCCATATTTGTAAAAAAAAAATTAAAAAAAAGCAGATTTTCATGTAATGTTTACATGGTGAACACCGTTAAAAAAAAAAAAAATTCGTATGTACTTAAAAGTATTATGATTTAAAAGTATTATCGATATTTTTTGACTTAAAAGTATTATGATTTTGCACTTGAATTAAAATTCCTATGACATTGTATACTTGTATGTACGATAAATATTGGAATGTCGTGATTTAATTCAGGAAGCTAGACTAAATTGATTTCATAAATATAAATATTATTGAGCTACTAGAACAATCAAATTTATTTCACAAAATAGATACTCTTTCTGTCCCAAAATTATTATCCAGTTTGAGATTTTAATTTTAGTATAATTTAAACTAAAAAAGAAAACCTAATAATTATGGGACGGAGGGAATACAATTTACAAATACCAGAGAAATAATAATAACAATATGAAATCGAAGAAAGAAGAAGAAAAATTGAGAAGGAAAGTAGGAAACCCTCAGCGTACCTTCGTTTCCCGCTAATGAAAACGGAGAAAGAAAAAGAAAATGCGGCCCTAATAAGAAAAGACGAAGAGCGCGGGAGCCGCCTATAAATTATAAATTCATTCATACTTACAAAACACACATCGAAGTGTGTGATGTGTGTAAAAGATTAACCCACAGTGCGCCTCCACCACTCTACTCTTTCACACACTCACACACTAACCCCAAAAAAAAAAAAAAAAACCTAAAATAAAAAATCAATCATTCGTTTTTCATTTTCGTTCCTTCTCCCAAAAACCCTAAAACTCGTCAGAGCCAGCCTCCACCACCATCCACCACCACCATGTCCGGCGGCAGCGAGTCAACCACCCCGATGCAGCAGCAGCAGCAGCTCGCGGCCATCCTCGGCCCCGACCCTGCTCCTTTCGAGACCCTCATCTCTCACCTTATGTCCTCCTCCAACGAGCAGCGATCCCAGGCGGAGGCCCTTTTCAACCTAATCAAGCAAACCGATCCAAACTCCCTCGCTCTCAAGCTCGCTCAGCTTCTCTCTTCTTCCCCACTCGAAGACGCCCGTGGATTGTCCGCTATCCTCTTGCGCAAGCAGCTCACCCGCGACGACTACTACATCTGGCCCCGCCTCTCCCCCCAGACTCAGGCCACCATTAAGTCCGTTCTCTTGACCGCGATTCAGAACGAAGGCAACAAGAGTATCGTTAAGAAGTTGTGTGACACCATATCCGAATTGGCTTCCTCTATTTTGCCTGACAACGAGTGGCCGGAAATTTTGCCCTTCATGTTCCAATGCGTCACCTCCAATAACCCCAAATTGCAGGAATCCGCCTTCTTGATTTTCTCCCAGCTCGCTCAGTACATAGGCGATACCCTTGTCCCTTACATAAAGGATTTGCACGCTGTTTTCCTCCAGGTTTTGAATCAGTCGCCCAGTCCGGAGGTTAGAATCGCCGCTTTGAGCGCCGTTATCAATTTCATCCAGTGTTTGAATAGTGCTGCCGAAAGGGATAGGTTCCAGGATTTACTCCCGGCTATGATGAAGACGTTGACCGAGGCCTTGAATGGGGCCCAGGAAGCCACCGCTCAGGAGGCGCTGGAGCTTTTAATTGAGTTGGCCGGGACTGAACCTAGGTTCTTGAGGAGGCAATTAGTGGATGTGGTGGGGTCCATGTTGCAGATTGCTGAAGCTCAGAGCTTAGAAGAAGGGACCAGGCATTTGGCTATTGAGTTTGTCATTACTTTGGCCGAGGCCAGGGAAAGAGCCCCCGGGATGATGAGGAAGTTGCCCCAGTTCATCAGCAAGATGTTCTCTATATTGATGAACATGTTGTTGGATATAGATGATGAGCCGGAATGGCATAGTGCAGAGCCAGAGAGCGAAGATGCTGGTGAAACTAGTAACTACAGTGTTGGTCAGGAGTGTTTGGATAGGTTGGCAATCGCTTTGGGTGGAAATACAATCGTTCCTGTTGCTTCTGAGCAGTTGCCAGCATTTTTGGCTGCTCCTGAATGGCAGAAGCATCATGCGGCGCTCATTGCGTTAGCACAAATTGCAGAGGGTTGCTCAAAGGTATTATTAAAGTTTTGGCCATGAATAATACTCCACTTGTCATTATTTCTTCTAGTTGGATTTTACATATTGGTTCCTGCATTAAACGACATGTTCATGAGATCATTGGGCTTAAATGCAGTTGTGAGTTTAGTTTTATGTTGGGTTTACGGTATTAACATGTGTTTTTTGGCTTCATAAAGACTGGACTGTATGGGAATAAGTTAATTTTGGCGCGCTTGTTTTGGATGTTGATGTGCTTCTAGTAATCATATATTTGATAGTAGGAGAGTGTTGTCTTGACACTTGTTTGATTTCTTTCCTTTGTAGGTGATGATTAAGAATTTGGAGCAAGTTGTAAATATGGTTTTGAATTCATTCCAAGATCCTCACCCTCGAGTGAGATGGGCTGCTATTAATGCTATTGGTCAATTGTCAACTGATTTGGGTCCTGATTTGCAAGTTCAATTTCACAACCGTGTATTGCCAGCACTGGCTGCATCTATGGATGATTTCCAGAACCCTCGAGTGCAGGTTTGTTTAAACATTTTGGTGGTTTCACTCCTGGTGCAGCTAGATTTTTCAAGTAACTTGTACTTTTTGGCTGAGATTTGCGCTTTTTTACTTGTGTTAACTTTAATACATATATCCACTCCTGAAGAGTATGATTCAAAATGTCTTCCTGAAATTCTGCTAAAGTACCAGTGTAGCTCATACGCAGTTCATCTTGCCATGCCCAGGATTGAACATGTGAATATTCTTTTCTGCGAACCTAACATAAAGGTGTTGCCATTTGAACACACCCACGTTGAAGCTTCTGTTGTTTTTCATTCATTCTGATTCTACCTTGTTTTTGGTGAAATCTATTTCAAAACTCGTAAGAATGCACTTATCTCTATAGTTTAGAGGATTATGTAGTCATGAAAGATGTGTAATGAGTAAATTGTAAATAGTATGCGTTGAGTTTCTTTCACTTTCTTTTTGCTGTTGCTCATATTGTTATTTCTTTTTTCTCTTTTGTTTTTAAATTGTCAAATTAGAAACTAAGTATGGTGCTGACACTTTCGTTGTGAAATCCTTGCAGGCACATGCTGCTTCGGCAGTTCTCAACTTCAGCGAGAACTGCACTCCTGAAATTTTAACTCCTTACTTGGATGGAATTGTCACCAAACTTCTTGTACTTCTGCAGGTATGATGCTGAAGAGCTCTCAGTACGGCCTTACCTGCTTTAGTGATGCTAGGAACCTTTTCTAACTTGCGTTATTGACTTCGTGACTTCGTTAATGCAGAATGGTAAACAAATGGTGCAAGAAGGAGCCTTAACTGCTTTAGCTTCAGTGGCCGATTCATCGCAGGAGCACTTCAAAAAATATTATGATGCCGTAATGCCTTACCTGAAAACTATATTGGTGAATGCAACTGATAAATCTAATCGCATGCTTCGTGCAAAAGCCATGGAATGCATAAGCTTAGTTGGGATGGCCGTTGGAAAGGATAAGTTTAGGGATGATGCCAAGCAGGTAAGAACAATGTTATGCTAAATTACCTTTTTTCTTTGGTCGTTTTACCTGTTATCTGTAGCTCATGCTGATTTACTTTAGCATTTGATATGCTTGGGTGCTCGTCTCTTTCTTTTATCACCTCTAATTTATCCTGTTTGCTTCTGGATAATCTTCAGCTGATTCAAGTATCGTAATGACTATGTTTTCTATTATGCAAGGTGATGGAAGTGCTAATGTCTCTTCAAGGGTCCCAAATGGAGACTGATGATCCAACTACTAGTTACATGCTCCAAGTATGTATTGACCTTCCTTTTGCAAGTTTTATTAAGTTGTTATTTTTGTTTTCACATGCTTTGTTCTTTTAACTGATAAATAAATGCACCCAATCTGTGGCAGGCGTGGGCCCGACTTTGCAAGTGTCTTGGACAGGATTTCCTTCCTTACATGAGTGTTGTTATGCCTCCTCTGCTTCAGTCGGCTCAGCTGAAACCTGATGTGACCATAACATCAGCAGATTCAGATAATGAAATTGATGATTCAGATGATGACAGGTAAAGTTCTGTACTTGAATATTATGCATACATTGATGTTTCTCAAATAATATTTACTGCTTGAGGCAGTTCTTTTTGGAAGAATTGTTGTTGCTAAGAGTTTTCTGTGTTGCAGCATGGAGACCATTACTCTTGGGGACAAACGGATTGGGATTAAAACTAGTGTCCTTGAAGAGAAAGCTACAGCATGTAACATGCTCTGCTGTTATGCTGATGAGCTGAAGGAAGGTTTCTATCCATGGATTGATCAGGTTGGTGCAAGTCTATTGTTCTGTTCCTCATCTTTTGAAAATTGTCAGATGTACTGATGCTTTTATTCTATGAATTTGAATAGGTTGCTCCAACTTTAGTTCCCCTTCTCAAATTTTATTTCCATGAGGAAGTGAGGAAAGCTGCTGTTTCAGGTGAAGTTACTGGCCATATGCTTTCTTTTATCTTTATTCTCCTAGTTTTTCCTCCGTACTTTTTGTCTTAATTGTTTTTGTGTATGTGGCATTGCAGCCATGCCCGAGCTGTTACGATCTGCAAAGTTAGCTGTAGAAAAAGGAATTGCTCAAGGCCGCAATGAGACTTATGTCAAACAGTTGTCTGATTTTATAGTCCCTGCTCTGGTCGAGGCTTTACATAAGGTGCTGTTACTAGTGAATGCTTTTCTCAACTTATAAACCAATTGGTATAGTACTTGACTTGTATTGATTGATTCCTTTGCAAGTTGTACAGGAGCCTGATACAGAAATATCTGCCAGCATGTTGGATGCGCTGAATGAGTGCTTGCAGGTTGGTTTACATTGTGAACATTTGTTGTTATAGGAGTTAAAAAAGTTGAGCTATCATTTTGTTTGATACTATTTGTAATGCCTTGTGCTTAACTTTCTGGGGGTTTCCTTGACGAGATTGTTGTGCCTTTCTTTTTGGATCTCATTTTTCTACTTATTATTGCTAGGAACTTCCAAATCAGATGTTAAGTGAGGGGCTATATTAGTGTCTCTCTTCTTCTGATCTTAACTGGTGGACAATAAAGGCTTTTTTGTTCCTTTGAATTTTGTTTTAGTCATCTCATGTGCAAAATGGAGATAAAGAAGTAGAAGTGAAAAGAAGCATAATCTTAAATATTACATTTGAAGTGATCTTTCATTTACTTTCTGATAAATTTTCTGCATTTTCTCATGAAGTTGAAATCATTGATGAACCTTTGGCAGATATCTGGACACCTTCTGGATGAAAGTCAGGTGCGAAGCATTGTGGAAGAAATAAAACAGGTCATTACAGCTAGCTCAACTAGAAAAAGTGAAAGAGCAGAGAGGGCCAAGGCTGAAGATTTTGATGCAGAAGAGGGAGAGTTACTTAAAGAGGAAAATGAACAAGAAGAGGAAGTCTTTGATCAGGTTTGTATCTAATTTCTAGTTGCATCCAGATTGTGAAATGAATGAAAGTTTGACCCCCTTCACTTATATTATGGATCAGATTGGTGAAATATTGGGAACATTGATCAAGACGTTCAAGGTTGCTTTCTTGCCATTCTTTGATGAGCTTTCATCATACTTGATGCCTATGTGGGTAAGTGCTCTTTGCTTGAATTTATCTACTGGGTGCAGCATGACAATACTATCGTTAAATTTGAACAATTAGCTGGAAATCTTGAATTGAGGGGATAAATTTTGGCAATTGCTAGCTATTTTATAAGAATCGCAACAGGAAGCTTTTCCTTTTTTCGGTCGTAATTGAGATATTAATGATCAATTTGTATAATGCAGGGAAAGGATAAAACTCCCGAAGAAAGGAGAATAGCAATTTGCATCTTTGATGATGTTGCAGAGCAATGTCGTGAAGCAGCCTTGAAGTACGTTTCCATCCTGCCACTTGAATAAAATATGATCATTGCTTACGGTTTGCACTAACTTTTCTTTCTCTACATGTAACTAGGTACTACGATACACATCTTCCTTTTCTATTGGAAGCATGTAATGATGAGAACCCGGATGTTAGACAGGTTAGCATAAACTCTCTGGTTATGATTTACATGTTATTGGATGAGTAATTGGTCTTGCAGTTAATGGTTTGATTTTCCCAAATATTTTGAGATGCAGCTTCTGTTACTTGATTTTCTCTTAATTACATCAATACTGTTGACAGGCGGCTGTTTATGGACTTGGCGTATGTGCAGAATATGGTGGAGCTGCTTTTAAACCACTCGTTGGAGGTATATTGTTGTTAGATTTTCTTCTCCACAACCTCCTCCCCCCTTTAGGGTGTTTACTTATGATGTTTGTTAATGTTGTTGATTTTGACTCCATTCAGAGGCTCTCTCAAGGTTGAATGTGGTCATTGGGGCCCCTAATTCCCAGCAGTCGGAAAATGTGATGGCATATGATAATGCTGTTTCTGCTCTGGGGAAGATATGTCAGTTTCATCGTGACAGTATTGATTCAGCACAGGTAGTGCCTCAGTGTTGTTCTCAAATATCATGGAGCTTTTTATGGGGATTGGCTTTATGTTTTTCAATTGATCATTTTAGACCCTAAAGTACCATGCACAATTTGTTTGCCAGCTGTTATTTGCCCAGTAACTGTTATTTGGTCTTTATTTAGGTGGTTCCTGCATGGCTGGGATGTTTGCCTATAAAAGGTGATCTAATTGAGGCGAAAGTGGTACATGAACAACTTTGTGCTATGGTCGAAAGGCAAGTGATTCAGATTTTGGTTGCTTAGATTATCATATTAATCTTCCTTTAGCTATTAATAGCCTTAGTCAGATTCTCAATGTATTGATTTTGCACAATCTCTTTGCTTTTGTTCTTGCAGGTCCGATAGGGAGCTTTTGGGTCCTAATAATCAATACCTGCCTAAAATTGTTTCCGTCTTTGCCGAGGTGAGCTTCCCATTTTAATGCATGCTATGTGAATTCATCTTTCAGGTCTTATGGTATTATGGAAAGAACTGTGATTCTTTGACATGATCCTTGTATGGTCCATTCGTCTCCTTTTTGGATTCTTTGCATTCTAATCATGTGGTTCGTTGTCCGTCTGTGTTGTAGGTAATCTGTGCGGGGAAAGACCTAGCTACAGAGCAAACAATGGGCAGAATGGTGAATTTGTTGAGGCAGCTACAACAGACATTGCCGCCTGCCACCCTGGCATCGACTTGGTCATCATTGCAACCTCAGCAGCAGCTTGCATTGCAATCCATATTTTCGTCCTAACAAGTCTGCAGTTGAGAAAAGAACTTGGGTTGCCTTGTGTCAAATCATATTTTCCCTCAAATTCTTTTTTTTTCCATTTGTTGGACAAGATGTCTGTCACCCAGCATTCATTTTTGCATGAAATTTGTGAAACAACCTATACTGGTGGGGTTGTTGGCCTGAGTGTGAAGAAGTTGTGCGAGTAAAGAAAAAGAGAAACATAAACCCTTGTGTAGAATGTGTATAAAAAAAAAAGGTGTTACAGTTTGTGGGTTGATTTAGTAGGAGAGAGGATTGTTCATTGTGGCATTTGGATGAAGCTTTAAATGCCATTGGGATTGATATCTGGGGATTGTCTGGCGGGACAATTCTTCTTGAAGTTTTGGTCGGGTTGTCAGTAATGTTTTTCTTTGTTGAATATACAGATAGACATAATGATATTCTTTTGTTGCTTTTCTGTGCGTTTTGAACTGTACTATGCATTTTAGCTTTGAGGCCTCTGGTGGCTCTTTGGGTGAAAATGATGGTGCTTAGGTTTTGGGAATTGGGGGATGTGGGTGATGATAGGACTAATGTGAATCCTTTTCAAACAAAAACTAAATCGATTTGGATGGTTTGAAAAGTAGTGTTTTAGCATAAAGAAGTGATCTTTGGCAATCAGTTTGATATTATGTGTACACAAGTAATGCATCGGTTCCTGTCTAAAAATTGTTTAGACTTGCAGCATCAAGCCAAACAGTGTATCAGGTACTAATCACACATATCAAACAAGGCCTTAATTTTCAGAAAACCCAACATCAGTTTCTACGTCCAAATTGATAGTTTTTATGTACTTGAAGGAGGAGTGGAGTTCCCTACTACATGAGACAAGAGCCTCCCAAGTTTGATGCAGGCAAGGAACGCAGCAGAGAGTTTTCTATGAAGACTGCACACCAATCAGTCAAATGACCAATCATTCCAAAATTGATGATGCAAATCTCCTGCTAAAAGGTCTCCTTTGTCCCATTCTACTCTACCCCATTGATCGTGATTCAAAAATCGGGCCAGGGCTCTCAAAAAGCATACATTTGTCAGCTTGTGGTTCAATTTGATTCTTATAAAATATAAGAAATCATATATTGCTTGCCTGACATTAGCAACATTCATTATTTCATTCCGTAGGTGGTTTGATGTATGAGGCGGAGCAGTTGACACAACGGTCATACCTAGTCTATGTATTTCACAAGTTGTGAAAGGTGGCTGATCTCACAAACTGTTGGCTCGTGTCAATCCCATATCTTTAACAGTCACCCTGATTAGCAGAGAAAGACCATCCATCGGCATTGGATTTTGGGCTTTATTCATTTGTTTTGTGAAGGAGCTTGGGGACATATGCGGTAGCAATAGCACACCACAAAGTCATTGTTTTGTGCTCACATTTTGAAAGAAAAAGAAACCCCCCAAAATCCATTTTCCAACCATTCAAACATCCAAAGGGCTACATTTTGGGAAGCCGACAACGCCATCAATTTTTACAAATCAATCATTTGACCGTTCACTTCAAAAACAAATGATGCAAGCCTAACGTAACCTGCCCCCAAAAAGTTTACTTTTGTCTGATAGCTATTGAATGCATTAGGAATCCACCCAAAAAGTATATTTTTGTCAGCTTATGAGCCCATTTGATTCTGTCCAATATGCTTAGAAGCTACTGAAAAGCAGCGTGCCTTGGGTTGAGATGCTGCCTCATTCTTGGGGTTATTGTCAATTACGTATGACAAGAAGAAAATGGGGACTTTGTGCCTTTGTTTATTGCGAGTACGAATTTGGTGTATTCGGGGAGATCATGCTCGCCTTGTATCCAAATGGCACCCCACGCCTTAGTTTTCTAACCATTACATAATTATTTTTATGAGATGAGATTTACAAAAGAAAACAAAAATTAATAATAAAACCGGGAAGAAGGCACAGCAGGCCCTATTTCGTGATTGCAACTTAGTTATTCAAAGTTGACTAACCAAAGTTACTATAATGTAAAGACCTTCTTTGACTTGCTTTGCCTCTGTTATTTGTCCCTCTCATTTCATCCCTTCTGGTGTTTGTGATTGTGATGCATCCCTTTAGTTAGGACCATCCATTTGAAACAGGGACTTTAGTCACATCTAGTTTGGAAGATTAAAAGAGTTGGGAGTATTATTATGTCGTCAAAAGAGGGCGTGGGAAAGGAAAGCAAAGTAAAATATCCCAAGTCACTTGATCTATTTTTGTTTTTGGTAAACTGATAGCAGAGTTCAGAATTCCGATTGAACTCTTACAGTTTTGTTTTATAGTAATATAAAAATGGAATTTCAAGTGTCATAAAATAAAACAGTTCCCTATCTATATTTACTGTATGCTATTCTACGAATACATTGGCACAACCATTACTCTCACTAAATGTACATTGTTTCAGTTATCTAAGCAGCTAGAGCCTAATATAATGATGTTTGATGATGATGATATAGGTCTGTGGGGGCAAAAACAATCTATTAATATTAATGACCATAATTAAGGAATAAGTATTGTTTAGGTAGGAGGAATCTTTTGCGTGAGGAAGCTGACAATTTGGAGCAATGCATTACATTACATGGTACCCATTTAGGCAGAACGGCACGATGTTTTGGTCAATTATTGTTCCTATTGTCTATTCACTAATGTAATTCTAGTTTTTGACTTCTTTTAACATTAACCTCTGCTAAAATGTTTCGGTGCAATTAATAAATGATTGGCTGGTCCTTGAACCAATCCCCCAAATTGATGAACGTGGGATACATGAAGTAAAACAGTTGAAGAACATAAGCCTGCAGAAAAATAAGAAAAGAAAAGGGAAGAAAATAACAAGCACTAAATAAAACATTTTAACGACAAAAGAACAATTGGAATTTTGCTTTGGGATAATGAAGAAGTCTCTATCTGTTCATTGAAAAATCAGTCAAACATTTTGGTAAAAACAACTTGAATCCCCAAATAACACCAAACAACAAAAACAAGAGGAACCCTCTCTCAGCTCATCAGCATCATCAGACTATAAAAATGACTCCTCTTTGTCTCATTTTCTTCAAGAAGCTCAAACCAACAACTTCCTCCTCCCCATTCCTTCTTCTTCTTCTTCATTTCCTTTTCTTCAGAAAAAAAAAAATGGAAATTCAGTTCCAAAAACAAAGCACATATAGTAGTAATATGGGGATGGACAGAAACAACATCAGCAGAAGGAAGAAGTTTGTTGGGGTGAGGCAAAGGCCGTCAGGGAAATGGGTAGCAGAGATAAAGAATACCACACAGAAGATCAGAATGTGGCTGGGCACCTTCGACACCGCGGAAGAGGCGGCTCAGGCGTACGATGAGGCCGCCTGTCTCCTCCGCGGATCCAATACCCGAACCAACTTCATGAATCATGTGCCTTGCAACCCGGCTCTCTCTTTGAAGATCAGGAACTTGCTCAATCAGAAGAAATCCCGTCTCAACAAAACCGCCGCCACTTCGCCTCTTGCATCCATCAAAACTCGCACCAAAACCGCCCCAGCAACAGCAACAACACATAGCTCTTCCTTGTCAGGAACCGCCTCTCCTACTACTAGCACTAGTACTACAACTTCTCAGCATAGTATGAGTTTTAGCAGCAGGGCCAGCAGCCATAGTTCATCAGACCCGAATTACTCGATGGAAACAGGTCAAGCAGCAGACACGAAGCTGTTTGATGATGCGTATAAACCTGATTTAACCTACTTCGTGGCTGCTACAGCTGGAGGATATAATGATGATGAAGAAGATGATCAAATGGGATCAAGTTTCCAATTCCAGTATGAAAATTGCATACCATTCTCATCCGATTTCGACAGGATTCTTTTAGCTGATGATACTCTGGGGGAATCATCCGCAGCAGCAGCAACTAGTACGGCAACTAATCAATATCATCAGAATCAATATCACCAGATTCCTGCAGACTTCGAGCATATGAAAGTGGAGAGGCAAATATCAGCATCCCTGTATGCAATGAATGGTGTGAGTGAATACTGGGAAAATATTCACCATGATTATACCAACAACAGCAACAACAACAACAACAACAATGATTCTTTCTTCTGGGACCTTCCCCTGGTTTGCCAGATGTTCTGCCCAACTTAGAAACATATGTACCAACACCCCCAAAAAAAAAAAACTCAAATGTCATCAGGGTTTTCTTTTTTTTTTTCTTTCAAAATCCAGATAAATCAATGTACCTTTATAGCTAGCCCGGGATTAATATTCCTCAATAGAGTGAATGATTAGCCAAAGCCATTAAATTCCCCCAATATCGTTTGTTTGTCATACATAAGCCAGCAAAATTCTACAATAATAGGTTCCAAAAGTATAATAACATTACATAATCTGATGATGAAGACTCTGAACCAATTGTGGGAACCTAAAATAAGAAATGAACCAAAAAGTATAATAACAATGTTCATCATCATCTATAAATTTCCAAATATAACTTCATTCCATCGGAAATGTTATGCATAGTTTTTATATGACTTCTTCTTATTCCTTTTTCAGTCATTAACTATTATTATTACTGCTGTTTAATTAATGCCTAACCATAGAACTAACTTGAAAGTTTTTAGTTACCTTAGAGCTCACCTTAATTGTGCGGGCTATTTGGGGTTTTATTTTTCGGCGGCGGTGCTCTTTCCTTTCTTCCCAGCCACGGTGGCGTCCACCGTACGCTGGTTGTTGTCGTTGTGCGCCGTCGGCAATGTACGATTTCTCTGTCAATACACTCTGCTTGAGATTATAACGTATTTGACATTCGTCATCGGCAAATCCAAGTTGGAAATCTGTTTAAATTAGCCACCATAATCTCTACTCTCTTCGACAATTATTTATTGTTTATTTTCACTTGATTTCAGACTCAAGAAAAAGCGGAGCTTCAGCAGAAGAGTAGGAAAATACTTGGTGGAGAACAGGTTAAGGCCTGCCTCCCATCACATAAAAAAAAATTCCCCTGCAGTTGCATCAACTGCACCTTCGACAAATTCATCATACAAGAAAGGTTTTTTCATTTCCTTCATGCAAATCCCGGTTGGCTATGATTGCTGAATGGGGATAACAGTTGGTTCACAAGTTTTGCGTCCATTTATTTTATCTTATTGCTTTTTCATGGCTGAGATGATTGCTTCGCATGGGAACATTATAATTTAAGTCTGATTGTGAGAAATCTACTACTTTATGCGTGATATGTTTAGCTCTAGACTGTAATTCAGAATATGTGACAGCAATTTGTTTCATCTTTTTCTGACTTCTTTTTTCCGCATTAAAAACTATTGAGTTTTATTACTCATATATCTGGAAAATTTCCGATAGAGGCCAACTGTTTATTCCTATTCTCGGGTCCAAAGTTTTCAACCAAACTAAAGACACAGCTTTGTGTTGGGTATAGATATCCCACGATTACTTGGGATCTTCCTTTTCCAGAAGCTTTCATCTAGAAAACTAAAAATAATCTTCTGATTTGTTTCTTTTATTTTGGTTGTATTGGAATGCCATTACTACCTTACCTCTTACTTCTGTTGCTTTGATGATCTTTCCTTGTTAGTGATTGCATGTCTCCTTGTCTTGTAAGATCTCTCTTTACTGAGCCGCAAAATGTACAATAAGCTTTTGGCTTTGTATTTTTAAGATTTTTAGTGCATGTTTCTTCTATTCACCGTTCCTGTCTCTCTTGTAGGAAACATTACTTTCTCAGGATACATGAATAAAGAAGGTATTGTTTTATGGTTATTTATTAATTTAATTTCCTTACAAGATATATAGAGTTTCATGCTGAAATTTTCTTTTATAAGAATCAGCTTCATGATATTAAAAGTGTAGTTTCTTTGAATGATATGTAACGCAGGGGCAAGGGATCCAGCATACTTTCCACCTAACGCACGATGCACATGAAAATTTGCTGAAAAATGAAGCTTGGGTAAACGCGTGAGAACCTTGTCAGTTTTTGCATTTTCCTTTGTGCATACTGTTATTTGGGTGTGCCTGAGTTTACAAGTTACTAGTTGGCTTCTTTTATGAGTCTTTTGACATTATTGTTGGTCATTTAAACCTTTGAATCCAATTCCGGTCTCTTTGTTTCATGCCCTCAAGTTATTGTCTTGTTAAATTTATAATTTGGTCGTCCTTCATACACTGTGCAGTTGTCCCCAACAAGCTTTCTGTTTTTGTGCGCCAAGTGGATTGCTGGAAGATTACATTGTTGGGAGATAAACTCACGTCAAGATCTCAGGTTCATTGATTTGGTTGTCTTAGTTTGTCTCTGGTAAGCTTTTCCCAACTTTGACTTCTGGAAGTTGCATTCTTTTTCTGTTTCTTCCCTTGTTTTGTCTGCCTCCTTGACATGAAATGTCCCAGCTGTAATGCAAAATATTGTAATGCTCAGATGGTTGTAATGCAAAAATGCTTTTTGCGCATTGCATTTTGTTTTTCCATCTCCAAAAAAGTTGTGTGTGTTAAATATGTTGTACAAGGAAAAATGAATTTCAAATCACTTATGTTGCTAGAAGCTGATTTCAGCTTTTAAGGAATCAGATTATGCCTTTTGGCTGGTTCAATCCTTTCCAAATCCAATTCCAGAAATTAAAACTAGTATCTTACTTGAGTTTAATCTATATTTAGATGTTGGGAGTTTTTCTGACTTTGATCGATCACCAATTGAAGAGTTTTGCCATCTCCTAAATAAGAGCATAGTTATTCTATATCTATGGTGATCCTTTTATCTACGTGCTTGCCAACAATCACTCCTACACTCTGCCTGAGTTGTATCTCTGTACAAGAATGGATTTGCCAGCTTTATTTTGGTTGAGTCTCACTTGTATTCTATATTGTAAGCTTTGCAATCTTCATGATTATAACAGCATCTACTGGTTAAATAATGGATGTCAGGACTTTGTTTGAGTTTAATTTTACTTTATTTTGTAGGAGGACACGTGGTGTGGGAGCTGGCGCGGACAAGTCCTATAAAGAAGTCCCATCTTGGCAACGAATGGAAAAAAGGGTCATCCCATGCCAAGGGCATCGTACTTGAGAAGATGTGAGAAACGTTAGATTCAGTTTATGTCTGTTTCATTGTTAAGGCTTCACTGCTTTATTGGCTGCTCTTTGAGGTGTGCAGAGGTATCGAGGCCAAGCAGCTGAACTTGCGGCAGGGTTCAACTTATTAAAAACGGGAAATAGATTGCTGCTTTTGTCCCTAATCATGGTTGTATTGAAGAAACCGTGAGCCTGACATCCCTTAATTATTGCTTCTAGGTATGCTTCCATGCTTGCGGCTCTAACTCCATGTTTGTATCTTTGGAAGGATGAAGTGTTGATTGCTGGATTTGGACGTAAAGGTCATGCTGTTGGAGATATTCCAGGTGTCGGGATCAAGGTGGTAAAGGTCTCAGGTGTTCTCTTCTGGCTCTCTTCAAGGAGGAGCAGGAAAAACCTAGATCATAAAGAGTCTTTGTAGGAAATCATTTTGCGATTTTATTTTTGAGGCATTTCCGATGAAACATCCCCTGCGCTTAGTTGGTCCATCATTTTGTCTTGTGGCTCCTGGTTACTCTAAGTATTTAAAATTAGCAAAGATTGTGGCAGCTATCTATTGTTGCCAATTGCAATAGTAGGTGATGCACCAAACTACTTTGGGTAAAAGCAAAATTTTGGTTTGCAAACAGCCAACGATCAACTTGTCATTTTGCTATCTAAGAAAAGAGGAAGAGAAAATCAAAAAAAAAAAAAACTCCACTAACCTTAATGAATTGCTCTGTAAATTAGCTGAAGTTAAACTCACTTATATGAGATGAAAAATTAGACCTCAGTTTCTTTTTAGTTTGGTTGAGCTCCTTCCTAATTCAGTTTACACAGACACAACCAAATTCAGCTTGAAGCTTTGGATAAGAAATTTCAATTTCCTTCGGCACAAGAAGGAAATCTTTTCTATCCATTGTATTCTTTCTGTTTCATGAATTATTTAATTGAGAAAAAGAGAGTATAATAAGAAAATTATTTGTTTTTTTTTCCTCGAGAAATCAGGGTGACACTATGAGTATTGAGTAATTTAAGATTACATAAAAACACAAATCGATCAAAAAAATAAGCTTAACAAGAGAAAACTATAAAATGGCATTGAACTCTGAAGAAATCGTTGTAAGTTGTAACACACACACACACAAACACACAAACACACACACACACACACAGAGAAGAGAAATGAAAGAAGAGGAGGAGAAGGGGGGCAACCAAATAAAGGGGGAATATATATTTTGATTGTTGAAGGGGGGAAAGTGGAATTACACGGATGAAAACCACCAAACTCTGGAGAGAATGGGCCTAATGACACATCAGTTTTCCAACCTTTTTTCCCTTTCCTCTTTCCAAGGAAGCCCCATAATCTATTTTCTCAACTCAGCAAAAATTAAAGCCAAAAAAAAAAATCAATCATTTAAAAGAAAATAATACTACTAGTTGAAGGGAAGAAGAAGAAGAAGAAAGTTTGCACTGAAATTCATTTCATTCATTCACTGGAAATTTAATGGCACAATAAATAAATAAACAAAAAAAAAAACCCACAACTGAAACCATATTCTCAGAAAAACAAACGTAACTGAGAGAGAGATGCACTGCTCTGCTGTACTTTAAACTTACAACAAACCATCCATCGGAGCTTTAAATTAAAAACCCTTTCCTCTCTTCTCTTGCTCCCAACACTTTTCACCCTTTTTTGGTATCCGAATTGGCTCGAGTTTGATGCAGGAGCTGTTTAGTTCATTCTCAGGTACAGAAATCCTGTTATAAAAATTATAGCTTTATCTATGTTTATGCATATTCTGTTTCACCCGTCCGTTATTTTTATTCCCCAATGTTTCCAATTGGTGGGTTTGTTTTTGTTTTGTTTATCTTTGCTTGCTAAAACTCATGAGGAGCTGTGTTAAGTTTCTACAGTTGTAGTGATCATGAGCTCTCTCTTTCTCTTTTCTTTTTCTCCAATTCTTCGATAAAGTAATCTCGTTTTATTGTGTGTTTGTTGTTAATGTTGTTTGGAATATTGGAACAACAAGTTATTCGCTTTTATGAAAACATAAATGTATTCAAATTTTGTCTACAGCTGGAAGTTTCTTTTGTTAAGGCTCATCTTCCAGTTCGTATTTTGGAGGAGAAAGAGAGCCCTTCTTTTGCATTTTGCTGAAATTTGGTTGAACATCTTGACTCCAGACTGTGATGATCTCGTTATTTTTTAGTTAGTTCTTGAGTGAGAGAGTAATTTTTGTAGGTTGCTCCTTTGCTTGGTTCGTTGAGGTTATTTATTGTAGGTTGAGCAGAAAGGTTTTTGTTTCTTGCCCCCAAATTGATTGTTTCTTCATTATCTTTGAGGTTTTGAAACTACCATTTCAGCTTTCTGCGGATCCATTCTTTACCCGTTGATATGTGATTGAGTAGATGGTTTGAACCAAGGATATAAGCTACTAAAACTGTAAAGATTGCTTCTTTTGTTTGCTCTTTATACTAAACTTTCTCGGCATGTATTCTTCTCGAAAATATATGCTTGCTTTTTTCTACGAATGGAAGGAAGTTATTTTATTTATGTACCATTTCCGTTTTATTCACTTTCAAGCGGTCTTCTCTGACGAGTTTTGCGGTGGCTGAAATTTGATGTATGATTTGTGTCCGATGTTATCTATTTCCCTTTTTGATGTTTGAGTCTGAAACAGATATAAAGTATATATCTTAATGTAGTTCGGTGCTAGTTTCGTTAGCTGTCTGTTGTTTGGCAGTGGTAGTTTTCATTTTGCCTTCTTTTGGGAACCTTCTTTTTACTTGCTTACTTTGCACCCATCCACGTGTTCTATACATCGTCGGTGGGGGTGGTTTTATAAAGTAAATGTCACTTGTTTACTTGTTGATTTAAGTAACGTGGATCGATCCAACATCCTAGAACTTTATTAGCTAGTTTCTAGGCATTTACAATACATCTGAGGCTTCCTCTTCTCTCCACTCTCTGTTCACAGTTTCTTGAGCATCAGAGGATCTGTTCACTTGATAACTAAGTAAGCTGATCCTTGTTTGATAATAAGGATATTGGTTTTTGTAGATGATTCAATGAGAATAAATCTCTGTGGGCATTCCAAATCTCACAAAAAAGTAAATAAATTTTGAAGCTTTTTCAGTAGATTTCTTTCTTAATAGTATGTGGATGGAGTGCAGTTAAATGTGTGAAATGTTTTAGGTCTCAAAAGGACTTCTGTAGGTTCCCTAGTGGCATCTCTTCTTGCCGTATTTGACTTTTTAACTTATTCTAATTTTCCGTTAAGTCTTTCATTATTGGTCGCCGTTACTGAGATGCAATGAGTTAAACGTACTATTTGAAAATTAATGTTTCGTGACTAAACTAGAAATTAAGTCAGTAACCTTAGGGAAATAGAAAGATGAACTCATTTGACTTCTTTTCTTTATATTGTTTGACCTTCTTAGCAGCAAGGGGGGAAAAGGACTGAAGATTAATTTTATGAGTGATGCATGTAATTTATCAGTCCAACAAATAATATTGTGTTCATGAGCATGAGCGTCTTGTTTCCAATTGGTGGTTTCGGTTGAGTTTCCTTCTGGACCATATTATTCCTGTATATCTGTTTCATGAGAGTCATTCTTTAATTTCCCTTTCAGTTACTGGCACTCTTGTGATGGTTTATGTTTCTATGTCGGCAACCCAGCTGATCTTTGTTTATTTTTGTTGCTGTGTTCGTGAAGGCCTTGGCTTGGATGCACATATGAGCATATTTTGTTTCTGAGTCTGCATAAGCATCTGACGGCTACTGGACGTTGAGGAAATGTCTTCTGAAGATGGAAGAAAGATCTTAACTCTAGTAAGTTGTTGATTTATTGCGTCCACATTATTCAACTGTATAGTTGCCATCCTTGCTATTGAAAAATGTGCATTTAATCTTTCGCTTTTTCCCCCCTCCGATCATGTTTTCTCTTTTATCCTTTTCACGTGTTCGGTGGATAGCTATATATGCCGTGCAATTATCATAGTATGTTAATGTAGATGTATGAAGGACTATTTTTGCTTTTGGTTGCAATTCTTTTAGCTTTCTGTTCTTCTTCTTTGGTTCACCCCTAACAATTAAGAACCCAAACCAGTGTTCTGTTCATTTCTAGGAGAAAAATTGCAACACGCAATCCCAGAAATTTGGTCAGTATATATTGATTTGCTGTAACTAGTAATCTTGTCATTTGCAGGTTCAAAATCGCATAGAAAGTTGTCTCCGCATGTATATGAACCAGAAAGAAGTAGTAAACACTCTTTACATTCAGGATAACATTGAGCCTCATGTCACAGAACTTGGTATGTTTCTTTTTAACTCCTGTAAAATATAGCTGCAGCATAGGAGGGTACTAATGAGAATGATCTATTGTTTTTAATGTAGCTTATTTTAATATTCAAGTTTGTCAGTCATATCATAAAGATTTTTTAAGCAGATGGATCCATGTGTTTTTTTTGTGGTACATTTTGCAAGAAATGCACCATTTTATTCAATTTTTCATTTTGATGGATATTATAAAATATAATGCGTATAAAGAAATAATATCCATGACAATTTAAATTATAGTTATACATTTTCACAATAGAAGATGTATACTATGATTAAGAAAAAGATTAACATATTCAACATTGATGAAAATATTTTGGACAAGGAGTTTTAAGTTTGTAATCTAGCATATATGCACCTGTTAATTGTCATAATTGGTCAATGTTTTTTTGTGAAATCTTAACTAAGTATTTCTTATTTTCAGTCTGGCAAAAGCTGGAAGAAGAAAATCCAGATTTTTTCAGAGCGTATTATCTTAGGCTGACAGTGAAAGAGCAAATAATGGAATTCAACAAGTTGCTTTCGGAACAGGTACAGTTGATGCGCCAACTAGGACCGGCGGGGATTTCCTCGATATCCATGTCAAATGGAGCTCCTGTACCATTGAGTAAGGAAATTTCCGGATTTCTACTTCTCAGAAAACATAAATTTTCAAGCTACCTCACATCAAATTGCTACGATTTATAGGCTGCTTGACGGTTTTTTTCCCGCTTTTCCTGTTTCGGATAGTTGTTCATTGTTGCACTGTTGATTATATGTTGGCTAGTTTATTTCCATTTGACATCTGTTTGGGATGAAATGGGAAATCCAATTTCAGAGGTAGACAAATTTCTCTTTTTCTGATTCTGAATCTTCCTCCATCAGTTTTTAATCCTCTGTTCTATCACCCCTGTGCCTCTTCCATTACTTTTTTCCACTGCATGTCCTTCAGTTTCCTTTTTGAGTCAGTTAATGCTATTTGTATTTTCACCTTCTGAGGATTTACCCGATGGCTAATATTAGTAAAATCAATATGGAAGTGTTTGTTGTAAATACAAGTAAGGGCCATTGATGCTAAATCTTCTGTTCCACTTATGAGTATTTAGCATGTTACCCTGAATTTCATGCTTGGAAAACTTCAGTGCTCTGTCAATCACACTTTCCCAGTGCAAAATGGCTCACGCACAAAAATGTCATAGCTTTATTTGAAACCTGATGTGAGAACCGCTAACATTACTATATTTAACTTATTACTATTCAGTGCATCAGAATATGGCTGCCTGTCAAGCTGAAGAAAGGCCTGGCGGCTCTACATTAAAGGCAGAGATTATGCAACAACAGCACTCAATGTCCGCCAACTTACACAACGTGTTTAGTAATAATCGTGGGTCAGCATCAATGATGCAGTCATGTGTCCAGGTTCAACCTCCTGCTCCGGATATGTCTTCTTCCCTTGGCCGAAGAATGGATATTTCGGCTAATAACATGTTGTTGGCTCACCAGAGCTCAAATAGGGGGGTTTTATCATCTCCCTTGATAGATGGGGCCGGAATGATTAAATCTGAACCAGGCTATGCTGCTGGGAGTAGTTCCCCTTTTGAGTTTGGTGCTGCACATAATAATCATCATCTTGTGGAATCTCGTTCTGCATTGTGTGACGCCTCTGTATCATCTTACAGTAGTGGAGCGGAGTCCAATTCACAACCATTCAATGAAGCTAGTGCTTTACTGGATGCTGATAATCCTTCATTTGGTTTGTTGGAGCAAATTTCTCCACATTTCAATTTCACCCTCTCTGACTTCCCCACTGGTTTGTTTCTTTCTTTCAAGCTGTCTCTCCCTTTCTCTCAATATCCCGGCAGATACATATATCAACGTAGCACCTGTGACTTATTCTTTTTTTTTTTCAGGGATTTTGGACGATTTTTCTAGGCCTCTTTTAATGCCAACGGATTCAGATAACTTTGTCGAACACCATGGTAAGGAAAAGCTTAGCAAAAGGGCAAATTGTTTATGTAGTGTTTATTCTTCGTTTGTTATGAATCAGCACTGATAAGAACAATTAGGCGTCGATAACTTGGCTTGCATTATGTACTTTTTGGAAATGGTGTGGTTTTTGTTAGGCAGTTTCTATATACTTCAGAAGAGGATTTGTACAGGTTAATAATAAAAGAAATTTTACGGTACACAAAGAGAGTAACTTTCGGTACTTTCTCATCATTTCTGTTGCTGATCGTTTTGCTTGTGTATTTTCAACTCGTCCCTTTAGGAGACATTGGAAAGTTTAATGCTGCACCAGAAGGCTTCAGATATGAAGATCTTGGCCGTGACTAGTTAATGAGGCACAACAAACTTTTAAGTGCTATGAGCTGCTTCACGCACCCGTGTCCATTACATTGATGAGAAACGTGTGTCTTTGGAGTAGCGTTCATCTTTCCAAGAAGGGTCCTTGGCTCTCCATATTTCAGTTGCTGATGCTCTCTAATTAGGGCTACTTTTTATTACTTTTTTTGGTCTCATTTCCTTTTTTCTGAAGTTGATAGCTGCAAATTCATCTAGGTGAAAGTGTTTGTACATAAAGGATTCCTTTCTGGCTTTGTGAAGCTAAATAGTTTGAAGAAGATAGATTATGTAGTGCTAATTTTTCATTTAGCAGTTTTATAGAATAAGTTGTTAAAATAATTAGCATCTCCAGAGGATATTGTTTTTTCTTTTGAAGGTTATTCTCTCACATCTCTGTTGGTATTTTCTGTTCGATGACAAGGCTTACACCGAAAAATTGCCATTGCTACCCAAAGCTTTACTAAATGAGTGAGCCTCTTTGTGAAGCTAACACGGTCGGCGTCATCAATAAAAATTGCACAGGCCACTCCCTATTGTTTGTATTCCAATTCCAATTCCTTGAGAAAGCTGGAATGGAGTTTTTATAGAAACATAAGTGATTAATCGGCAAAATTGCGTGATAGTGCGTAAAATTTGGTTGGACAGCTGAACTCCAAAACCACCACTAACATATTTATATCACAACTGGTTTCAGTTTGCTAATGAACTTTGGGATTAGCATATCATTCCATCAAGGATTAGAAAAGATAGACAACAAATTTCACCACTTCCATTCTTCTTTATCTAAACAAACAAAAGATACACAAAAAAAAGACGAGTAGAAAGATACAAACAGCCAAGAGACCATGAGAGGCCCTTGGGAATGGGATTCATGAGGTGCCAATTTTACATAAAAATCAATAGTCTTCCGGTTCCTCTTCTTCATCGACACCTTCAGCACCAACTTCCTCGTAATCCTTCTCCAGTGCGGCCAAGTCCTCGCGGGCCTCAGAGAATTCACCTTCTTCCATTCCCTCACCCACATACCAGTGCACAAATGCCCTCTTAGAGTACATGAGATCAAATTTGTGGTCAATACGAGAGAACACCTCGGCCACTGCTGTGTTGTTGCTGATCATGCATACAGCACGTTGTACCTTGGCAAGGTCACCTCCAGGTACTACAGTTGGAGGTTGATAATTGATACCACATTTGAAACCAGTTGGGCACCTGCCAAAGAAAAGTCCATTAGTATTTATTCCAAAAGATGAGAGGAAAGAGAGCACTGTAGAAATAGAAAAAAACAGCAGATAACAGAGGGTGTCAAATACATTGACCACTGGGAAAGACACCAACCCTGACTATGTTAGAAAATTCAATGGGAGAAAAAAGTGATACAGAGTGTCAACATGTCACATTATCCTCAGGTTGCACTACTGGAAATGCACATGCTTCTTAGAAATGGACCACATGTTATGTGTAACTATGTCCAGGTTGGAAGCAATCAATGAACCCAAGGAGGGCTTTCTAAACTACCCCATAAGCAAGATCAGGCTAAAATTGAACTGAGTTTGTAATCATATCAATCAATAACAAACAACAACTGTTACTTCACAAGATATTTATATTAGAGTAACACTTTCACAAATAAAACTAATAAAATTCAGAAAAGTAAGTGAAAAATGCAGCATTTCACAAATTAGAACACACAGAGAGAGAGAGAGAGAGAGAAATTGGATTCTTGTTCCTTCTCGATAAAAAAATTATATTAATGCATCTATTGAACAAATATTCAATTCAACTGTATGAATAACTTGTAGCCAGTTTCCAGTCAGTAACCAATGCATATTAAAAGGCAACTTCCTTACCAGTCAACAAATTGGACTGTCCTCTTGGTTTTGATGGTAGCAACAGCAGCATTGACATCTTTGGGAACAACATCACCACGGTACATCAAGCAGCAAGCCATGTATTTGCCATGTCTGGGGTCACATTTGGCCATCATGCTTGACGGTTCAAAGACTGCATTCGTAATCTCAGGAACTGAGAGCTGTTCATGATAAGCTTTCTCAGCTGATATTACCGGGGCATAAGAGGAGAGCATGAAATGGATACGGGGATACGGCACAAGGTTGGTCTGAAACTCTGTGATGTCCACGTTAATGGCTCCATCGAATCGTAAAGAAGTAGTCAAAGATGAAATAATTTGAGAAATCAAGCGGTTCAAATTAGTGTAAGTAGGTCTCTCAATATCAAGAGATCTCCTACAAATATCATAAATTGCTTCATTATCCAAGAGCACGGCCACATCTGTGTGCTCAAGGAGGGAATGAGTAGAGAGAACACTGTTATAAGGCTCCACAACAGCAGTAGAGACCTGCAAAACCATATAAGAAAAAATTTAATACTAGTTTCAAGAAAAGCTAAGTGGTGACAGCTAGCCAAGATCTTTCCACAATGAAAATGTGGCAAGGAACAAGCCTCAATTCACAAAGTAAGAAAAACAAGCACCTGTGGAGAGGGATAGATGGTGAAGCCAAGCTTAGACTTTTTCCCGTAATCCACAGACAAGCGCTCCAACAAGAGAGAACCCAATCCAGAGCCAGTACCACCACCTACAGCATTAAACACCAGGAAGCCTTGCAAGCCGGTGCAGTTATCAGCCAATTTCCGCACCCTATCCAGGCAAAGATCAACAATCTCCTTTCCCACTGCAACACATAACAAGTGTATCAGTAATCTTGTTTAACGAGAAATTATTCGGACCAAAAGGTTACATAATTTCTTTACCTGTGTAATGCCCCCTTGCAAAGTTGTTGGCAGCATCTTCCTTTCCGGAAATGAGCTGTTCGGGGTGGAAAAGCTGGCGGTAAGTCCCTGCCCTGACTTCATCAATAACGGTGGGCTCAAGATCAACAAATATGGCCCTGGGTACGTGCTTTCCAGCTCCAGTTTCACTAAAAAAGGTGTTGAAAGCATCATGTGCAACACCCACCGAAGTGTCACTGCAAATCCATACAGAATTCATTCAAAAAACCACAAGTCAGACTAAAAGATTCAAAATCAAAGCAACACAAAAAAAAAGAAAAAGAGGCAAGAATACCACCAAGAAGATAAAATATTCAGATTACAACTCAGATCCAAGAGCATTTATAGGAACTTCAAATTCAGGGCAAAATTACAACAGCCCAATCTCTTCAAAATTCCAACACCGATCATATGGCACCAACCAAGAAAACCCAATAAAATGAAACGAAAGAGGACCAAAATAAGCAAAAACAAAAAAAAAAAGAGTAAATAAACACAACAACTCTGTCAAAATTCCAACAAGAGGGAACAAAATGAGCGCAACCCATTTCGAAAAATGGAAATTCAAAAGAAGACCATGAATTCCAATCCGGATCTATGGAACCAAATACAGCCTATGCCGACGCCACCCATTTGAAGAAAAAAAAAACGAAGTATTAGGGATGGCCAAAAATATCCAAAACAACATGACAGAAAACAAGATCAGGGGAACTGAATTTCACAGAAACCAAAAACGGAAATAAAAAAATAAAAAAAAAACAAATAGGAAAAGATGTAGAGAAAAAACGGACCTGGGCATCATGCCATCAGGCTGAATGCCATGTTCAAGGCAATAGAGCTCCCAACAAGAGTTACCGACCTGAATCCCAGCTTGACCTATGTGTATGCTGATGATTTCTCTCATCTTTTTTTGTCCCCTCGAACAAAAATTTCAACCCTAAAACCCTCTCTTTGGTTTTTTTTTTTTCTCTGTTTGATCGGTTGGAACAAAGACTAGATTTTCCTCTCTTTCTTTTTTTTGGGGGGTTAGGTTTGAATTGTAGGGAGTGGCACTGTGTGTTTGTGTCTCAGATGAGGAAGAGGAAATAAATGCTCTCTATATTCTATCTCCTCTCCTCTATAAAGAAATAATATGTCCCCTCCTTCCCCCATTTCTTTTCTTTCTCTCTCTCTCTTCTTTTTTTTTTAATTTCCTTCGGTTGATTTTATTTGCTTTAGTATTTTTTATGTATATGCAGATTTTATATATTATTATATATAATTCACTCATTGATTAATTCAGATAAATATATTTGGGTGCCGAAAATAAGTCTGAGATACACCACCTAATCAGAAGATATTACTATTACAAAAGTAAGAGTAATAATAATAATAAGATTTCAAGAATGGGTTGCTTTTATTAAAAAAAAAAAAAAAAAAAAGGTGGTAGTACTCCTACAACGGAACTGACACAAGTTTGGATATGCAGAATTTGATGGAGATTAGAGAATGGAATTGGATAGTATGTTTGGAATCCGGGCAGAGTTTCTAGAGACAGGGGTGGTGGGGTGGGGGGTGATTTGGCGCCAGCCTTTTCTGGGGGGTCCCACGGATTCTCGCCAGCCAATTAACAAATTTTGATGGTACCCCACCCCCATCCTCGAGATATTTATTATTAGTATTATTGCCTTGCTGGGAGGGGGTGTTGTAGTATTATCGTTTTCGCTCTATTCTCAAATAATAATAATAATAATAATAGTAGGAAAGAGAGAGATGTATTATGAGAGAGACGGAAAAAAAAAAAAAAGAGAGAGAGAAGGAAAATATGGAAAGGGGTCCAGATTATAAATTCCAAAAATAAAAGAAAATAAGTAATATGCAACTTTAGGTCTCCAATCATTGCTATTCTCTGGATTTATCTTTTCTTTGGAAGAAACAGACTTTTAACGCAGCAAAAAAAATTGGGGGGTAATGGAGAAAAAAATCTTCACACCTCCATCCATTATATTCAAGCCCATCCATCTCAACCCAAAACAACACAACATCATACTTTCCACATTTATTTTTTAGAGATTTTTTCATAATAATAAAATAATAATTGTCTCATCCCAATATATCTTTTTACATTTTTCTAATACCAAAAAAATACTTAAAAACAAATACTAGTTGACTAGCTAGTGGTATATATAATTTTTTTCATCCCAAAACATTTGTGTTGATTTCTTATTTTTTGAGGTAAACAAAGTAAATTATATTTTGAGACGGAGTAAATAAACTATACAATCAAACACAAATATAGGGTAGGTAAAAGCCATCCATAATTGTGACAATTTAATGAGTGACCATTTTGCTGGTGGTTGGACGAGCATCGGGGGATGGAACAGTGAAAGCAATATAGTAACATATTATCAATTACGTACTACTACTACTATATACTATACCATGTATAAGTAATAATAATGAGTAGAAGAAGAAGAAAGAGTTAACAGAGATTTAACCAAAGTTGAAAGGAAGGCTGGCATGCACATGCCGGCGCCCCGAATGGTATATATGTATACACACTACCAAATCCAAAATGTACTTAATTGTTTTTAAGAGTCAAAATTGAGAGGTACGTTACCCTAATAACATAACATATAAGAAGAAGAAGAATATGATGATTGGGGGGAGGTTACCAGCTCAAAATGAACTTCCTGTGGGCTGGCTTTTCACATGTCCTCCGCATATGTGTTGGAATTATCCTACTGTATTACGAATTCGCATTGTTATATATGGTTCTCGGTGATATACAGTAGTATTATTGGAACTCAAATCATTTCTCATTATGCAGTTACTGTGCGCAGACTTTTGATGGTGTATGTATTAGAAAGAGTACTTAAATTATAGATATTGTTGTAATACTACAAATAAACATATGGGCTTGTATGGAGGTGGTTCAATGCATAAAAATTGTGTAAAACTAATGTTTGATATATTTTTTAAAATATAGGTTAAAATATTGTATGGATAATGTTTTATTTTGCACTGAATTTTATGTTTAAAGGAAAAAATGAGACCAAAATACAAAATGAGAGGTCCGTTCTTTGCGTCGTTAAGGGAATAGTACATGCTAATCTCATTCCTAATTAAGCAAAGTCAATTCATTAAAATAATTTACAATTTCCTTTTACAATGTTTAGAAATCCTATATATTAAGAGAATAAGCTTTTCGGACATGTGTCACATAATGAGATGTCCAATCAAATAATCATAAAAATCAAGCCTAATTAGATATAGTAAAAAAAAATTGGTAACTATTTAATTTAACTTATTTACTCATATATATTTCATTAACCAAGGTAAATCAAAAACATAATAATTAGTTAACATTGAACATGGTTCGGACGTATGGCACATCATCCGTGATTTTGAAACGTTTCTAAACGTTTTTAGAATTTTCAAAAAAGCACAATAAATATCATTTCCAAATATGACTTCCAAATTTATGGCACATCATGATATGATTTTAAAATTCGAAAATAATGAGATTTAAATTGATCACCCTAATTCCCTCCCACATCCGAAAATTAATAAATGAAATTTATTTTTAAAATTATGGATAAATTAACCAGAATAATATTCCGTCCATATTCACAAACTCCCCAAATATGTTAATTAATTGCTCCAAATTCTATCAGTAAAGCCTAAAGTTTTAACCTATCCATAAAATCATATAATTACTCATATAAAATATTTACCAAAAATATCCCATAACATATTAAGCCCTACGACCATAGTTATCTTACGTACTATAAATAACCCAAATTAGAAGCCGTGACAACTGTCACGGGCTTACTTTTTCAAAGTAACGGCCGTGCGGCACTAGCACAAAACAACTAACGATCAAGTGCTAGCTCAGCCTTAAGACCCCCAAAGCGTGCAAAGCTAGGCAAGACTTTAAAGAACGGAGGCAAAGAAAAACTTAAGAAAGGTTGAAAGTGAAAGAATGATGAAGGCACGAGAGAGCTTAAGAAATGCTTGAGAACTCTACTCAAAGCTTGGATGGATTACAAATGAAGGGGGCATGGGGTATTTATAGGCAAACCCCAAGTCCTAAAGAATTCTAGAGAATTCTATGTACATAATAAAATAATGGAATTCTAGAGAATTCCTACAATAAAATATTCTAAGTTCAAAATATCTACAAGTCTTTAGAATCTTCCACACGGTTCTAGCAAATTCGGGTAGCTTCCACACGGTTCCACCCGTTTCTAGAGAGTTCCGGGCCTCTCTAGAAAATTCCAGAGTCTTCAAGATTTGACCGGAAAATTCCACAAGGCTCTAGACCGTTCCGTCCCATGTCCGTCTACGAAAATAGCCAGTTTCGCATCAAACCACCCGAATTCATGGTGAAGAAAAACTGTCCGTGACATCCTCCCCCACCAAAATGGTGCATCGCCCCAATGCACCTAAGTCTCGAAGGCAATGTTGATAGGAACGGGTGCACGGTTCTCCTCAAAGTCCTCGATCAATTTGGTGAATTGCCAAAGCTTCTCGATTGGCTCCCAACTCGTCTCACTCATTGGCAAATTCTTCCATTTCACCAAGTATTCTTTAGTTGCTGCCCGCTCTTGCCCGAACGATCCTCTTAGAAAGGATCTCTCTGCGGTCCGTTCCTCATGCTCGCGTGACGCCACGGTGGGCCCTTGAGGAAACGTTTCGTTCTTCGTCCTCTGGGTCCTTGCGGTATGGCTTAAGTAGGCTCACATGAAAGACTGGATGAAGCCTTAAAAGGCCTCGGGTAGCTCCAACTTGTAAGCAACCGAACCCACTTTCTTAAGAACGGTGAAAGGACCTCGTATCTGCGCATGAGACCCTTGTGTAGACCACGGCTCCGTCCATGCTCATAAAGCTTCACCAAGACTTAGTCGCCTTCTTCAAACTCGCGACGGGTCCGTTTCTTATCCGCCCATTTCTTCATGCGCGCGGCCGACTTCTCCAAGTAGAGTTTTGCCTCGTCGGCCCGTTCTTGCCAATCTTTGGCAAACTTGTATGTGGGTGGGCTATTGCCCTTGTAGCCCCCAAGAATGTCCTTTGGCGTGGTCGGTTGGAAACCAAGGATAATCTCAAATGGACTTTTGCCCGTGCTCTCACTCCGCATCAAGTTATAGGAAAATAGGGCAAGGTCTAGCAAACGTACCCAATCTTTCTGGTTGGCTGCCACATAGTGCCTGAGGTACACCTCCAAGAGGCCGTTGATGCGCTCCGTCTGCCCATCTATTTGCGGGTGCAAAGATGTAGACATCTTGAGCTCCGTCCCGAGCAAACGAAAGAGTTCTTGCCAAAAACGGCCGGTGAACCTCGAGTCCCTGTCGCTTATGATCGATGTAGGCAGCCCCCAATACTTCACCACATGCCTAAGAAAGAGTTTGGCCGTTATCTCCGCGGTGCACTCTTTTGGGGCGGGAATGAAGACCGCATACTTAGACAAACGGTCTACCACAACAAGTATGTTGGTGCAACCCTCGGAAACGGGCAGGCTCACGATGAAATCCATCAAAACGCTGTCCCACGGGCGTTCCGGAATAGGCAAGGGTGATAACAAGCCATGCGGGTGGTCTTGCTCGGTCTTGTCTTGTTGGCAAACTAGACAAGTCCTTATATACGTCTCCACGTCTTCCCGCATACGAGGCCAATAAAACCGTTCATGGACTAAGGCAAGTGTGCGATGCGTACCTGGGTGACCTGCATAACGGCTATCATGGCAATCCCTTAGAATCTCCCTTCTAACTCCATCCCATGCGGGCACGTACAAACGGTTCCCCTTGGCATAAAGTATCTCATCCTCAAGCCAGAACCGTGTTGTCTTGCCTTCCTTCACGAGCTCCATGAACCTTCGGGCTTGACGGTCGTGCTCAAGACCCTTCTTGATGCGATCAACCAGCGTCCCCTCGGGTATGCTAACGATTGGAGCAAGACACGCCTTTCGGCTTAGGGCGTCGGCCACGTGGTTAGTCTTCCCCGGGCTATACTCAAGCTCGTATTTAAACTCGGCCAAGAAGTCCAACCAACGTGCTTGCTTGCTTGAAAGCTTAGGTTGGCTTTGATGGTAGCTCACTGCCCGATTGTCCGTCTTGATCTTGAATGGTGTGGCGACCTTTAGGTAGTGCTCCCAAACTCGAAAGCAGTGAA